ATGCTGGCATACTTCAGAGTCACTCCGGAAAATCCTGTCGTGGAGCTGGGCATGATGATGCTTGGCGGATGTTTGAGCAAGCAGTTGTTCAGGATACTTGTCGGTAGCCCATCATGCCACCTCGAAGGGCAAGCATGTGCGAGGAAGCCACAGCACAGCTCCCTGATGCACTAGGCTGCCCCGCTGTCGCAAACCATTGCAAAGGAAGACTCTACCACCCAATCCGATATCGTAGAGGCACGGGTAAGGGACTGCACACCCGTGCTACTCTGGGCATCTCTGAGTGAAAGGAATACGTTCGTTTCATAATTGTCCGCAGAATTCTCAGAGGGATACCATCGAGTTGCCAAGAGACTGTGACACAAGAACCAATTCGAAAGCACCTACCCGAAAGCCGAGACATACACCAGATGGTGACGTAGAACGTAGAAGGCCTCACGCCCGCAACTGTCGGGAGAAGAAGGATTCTTCCGGCTAGGATCCGGTTGTGTGACACTTCACCCTCATCGGGTCCAGGTCACGCATGGACTCTTCCAAAGTGCAAAAGCCATGAGTACTTAAAGGATCATGGGACTTAGTAACTAGGGTTATAATTAGGGTAACTATACTTATAACTACTTATAACCCCAATTAAGGTACTTATAACCTTACTTACTAAGTCCCATGATCCTCCAAGCACGAAGATCATTGCAAAAAAGAGAAGTCACCTCGAGAACGAAGCCGAGCCAACCCCGGCATCAGAGACATCATCAGAACATCACCTTGCATTAGGGTTTAGGGTTTAGGGCTTTTAGGGTTCAGGGATTAGGGCTTAGGGCTTTTAGGGTTTAGGGTTTAGGGTTCAGGGTTCAGGGTTTAGGGTTCAGGGCTTAGGTTTAGGGATTAGGGATTAGGGAGCTCGATCAACAATCATCTACCGGGCAACCGCACGGCCGTCATCAAGAGGTTGGCTACCTGCTGGTTACTAGTTGATGTTATGACATCGTAGGGTTAAATGTGTTGAGGTACACCCCGTGCAATACACCTGTCTGCTTGTCATTGTCGTGAGAACGTACAACCATGGCATCGACAGATACTAGCGGCTCCACGATTCTCTCCCCGGTTTAGGGTTTAGGGTTTAGTTAGATTCTGGAGCCCAGAAACAGACTTCTGCATTGCTTAGGATGCTGACGTGGATAGTGTGTATGGCGATCCAGAAGCTTGCTATGGGCTTCGCCACGGAGGTTCGTGCTCGGCGGTTTTTGGAGGCAAGGCACAAGCCGCTGAAGCTTATGAAGAAGGAGAAGATCAGTGCTCTGGCGGCTTAGGGTTAAGGGTTTGGGGCCAGGTTGTAGGGCTTGGGGGTTAGGGTTTAGGGTTTGGAGTGGAGACGAATTTGGGGTCCTTAGACTTGGGATCACGCGGGACTCTTGACGCTCCAGAGCAGGAGCCCGCTCTAGCTTGGTTGAACGTCCTCTCAGGTTGGTTGCGTTGTGATAGCCTTCTCCTTGCTTGGAGAGGTTTGGACCAAACCTCTGCAGCCCTTCTCTGAACCTTTGTGAACCGGTGTTGCGCATACAGGATGTGCGGCTGCAGAGTTTGGAAGACAGAACATCGGATAACAATGACAACAGGCACTTGGATGATTTTGATCCAAAATGGCTGTCTTGGCAGTGATGTTCACCATCACTGTCGTCTCGGCTTTCATTGTCATTATGACTCATGGCCACTGATCACCATGTTAATCTCCATCAGCACCATCACCGCCGCAACCACTACCATCATTGGCACCATCTTGTTCTTCGCTCAGCGTCGCCAATGTCTTCAGCACAACCTTAAAGTATCATGCTCCTGCTGATGAAGAGAATGAATGACGATGGTGAAGATGATGACGACAACAGAAACTTCATCAAGATCACCACTATCAGCATCGCACCAATCATCAGTATCAGTATCGCTACCTCATTGCCAATATGCAACAACCGCCCCAGTCTTCAAGCGCCTCGGAAGTTGAACATTGACCAATGCTACCTTGCCGATTCGGGGAGATCTCAGGTGAGACCTTCACTCTTTTGAAGTTCGAAGTCCCTTCGGGCTACACTGCTGGCATCAATCCAGGCCAGCATGTCAAAGTGCACGTCCCTCGTGCAGAAGTTTGATAGTTTAGTAGTTGTAGCAGCTTTCGGAGTGATGGTGTCTGGTATGTCTACTTAGTGCCTCTTCCTCGCGCATCGAGCAGTTTTCCGTCAAGGTTCCAAACCTGTCCAAGGGCCACAAAGAATGGAACAAGGCGACGAATTTGGAGGAGCCTGTCGAGATCCTCAGCAGCTTGGCCTCTTTGCAAGGCTGCAAGAGCAATATGCCTGGAAACTCACCGCCTTCACGTGCCAGGTAGGTCCTACACGCCTGTGTCTGCTACTACGTCGCCAACCCTTGACCTCATGGTTCGTCACTATCCAAAGAGCGCAGAGCGAGGCTTCCCGGACGGAGGCCAGATCCGTTGGGACACGCCACCATTTCAGAGTGAGAGTCTGGCAAACCGCCTCAGCTTTAGCTAGCTGTTTATCGTTGTGTGTGAGAGTAGCAGCAGAAGCAGCAGCAGCGGTTGCGGTAGCAAGAGCAGTATCAGCACAATCAGCAGCCGTAGCAGAATCGCACAAGCAGCACAGCTTGTCGCCTTCGGTCAGAACGCGGATCAAAACATATCAAAACCTGGGTGAATCGATCGGGAATCAATTCATGCACAAAGCTCGCGCGAAGAGCTCGAGCTTTCTGTAGGCAGGCGGATCTGCCTGTAGGGTTCGGTCATTGCAGCAGGCCGTGCGAGTACATTCATGATCGAGAAGTTGGCAGAGGGCAGCAAGATCCTGATGTCGGGTCCACACGGACATCAGCTATACTATGGCCAGGGAAACTTCCTGGTAGGCAAGAACATGGTACATGCGCGAGCCTGCGGAGCTTTAGCCGGAGGTTCCGGCGCCTTAGCGAAGTTGAGGTTAAGAAGCCACGAAAAGGTGCCTAGGGCCTCTTGAATTAAAGCATTCCTTCAAGGTATCACGCCCGTCCTGGCGACCCTGCAAGACATCTGGCAAGAGGGACGTCGTGATGTTCGGGACCGGGACCAGCGGATCTTGGGGGAGCAAGCCATCAAGATGAAGGAGTTCCTCCGGCTGCAGGCTTCGTCTCTTGTGGTGCTCCCGTTAAAGGAAGGACTACGGTTGAGCAGGTGGAACAGGTCTGAGTCTGAAATAGGGTCACTGCCATGTTGACTGCAAAGACGTCGGGTATCTCGGAAGCATCGCAAGCCAACTTTGAGTACTCCAGCCCGTATCTGTGTTCGGTCGATTCAGTTGTCAATTCTGTTGTGCACAAGTTTTTGTGAAGTCGGTGTTGTAGAAGAGGCGATGAGAGAGTGACCTGGCATCGCGAACGATGACTGCTTTTGTCCTTGTTGCTAGGTATGCTGCATTGGTCAGTCACCCTGCTGGACACCAACTACATTGCATTAATCCCTGGGCCCAATGTTTAACACGCCGGCAGAACCTACAAGGCTAACATGCAGAACACACTCATCAGTTGTACGAAGGGCTTCGTCTCGCGAAAACCAACACAGGACTACACACATAACAGAAATTACAGACAATGTGCTTAGCATCGCTAGCTGGCATTATGGCCGGGGCTCGGGTTGTTGGCTGTTTGTTTGACCGTTCGGTGGTGTTGTCTTTCAGCTATGTACGCAAGGTTGCCGGAGATTCCAGTTGTTTGTGGATGTGATCATTGCACATGAAATGCCTCTAGACTCTAGGCACAGCGTCCTTGAATTGACGGCGCATGTGGGCGCTGGTTCTCGGTGTGTCTCTTTGTGTGTGTGTGCGCGGTCGTTGATCACCTCTGTACCCGGACTTATTCAAGACGTGGTGTGCCAGGAGCCACAAACCAGTCTGAGACACACCGAAAGAGACTAACGAGTCGCGTCGACACAGACAAAGACAGACAGACAAGCAGATATATTGAGAGGCAGAGACGCAAGTAATGAAGTAAGGCGTTACAAAGATTGCTGATTTCGAGAAGCCAAGGTTTGCAATCATGCACGTGACTCGATCTGCTTCGGAAGCTCTTTCGCCAGAGTGGTACTCACCTCCGAAGGGCGAAGAGCAGACGCCTCTTCGTATGTCGCACGTCGTCACAGGCACAGACTCGAAGGCAGAAGTGCCAGGCCGGCCGGAGATATGCAGAGCACGAGCGATCCAAGTCCCGGGAGTCCTTAGCTCCTGCTTTGCAGGAGCTACTTGCTATAAAGGGCGAGTGACTGAAGAGATGGTACGTGCTGCGATGCTGCTTCACCGCAGTTCATTGCACTATGAATGCCGTGCCTTTCAGCGTGAGTCGTCTCTCAAGGCCTGCACCTGGAAGCGACGTCGTGATCTTCGTATGCGGTCCGCAAGGCTCCGTGGTGCTGCAGGTGATTTCCGATGTTGCTGATGTCACTTCGGCTCAGGCTTTTCCGAGTCTTGCTGCCGCCCGATTCTCAAGAAGCTTGGATACGAGCATATAGCGGCTTGGCATTTGTAGCACATGTAGGGCCATGCCCCGGTCCGACTTAGGTCTTACGTTTATAGAGCCGAAGCCGTCATGCGAGACAGTTGTGCAAGACCTGCTGATTAACGGAGAGCTGTGAAGCTTGCACCTTGCTGAAGGTGATGCTGCAATGATCGGATGAGAGTTCCCCATCTACCAAGAAAAAGCTGGTGCTGCTCAAACTGCAAACCAGAAATTGAAGAAAGAAGTGCATACTTTCTACATCTACGAAGCCTGAGATCTTAGGTCCATGTTCAAAGTCGCACTCTTGATGCGTGTTGCATTTTGCTACGTTTTTCCGTCTCACGCCCTTCTCAAACTGCAGCTTTCATAAAGAGCTGGGGAGAAACATGAACTTATGCACTTCCGGCCTGCACCTTGCCTCAGTCTTTCAGGCCGTACGTTGAGGAACTGTGCCTTCTGCAGTGTATTTCGCATGCCAGGACACTTTGAGAGCGGCGTCTGAGCAAAAGCAGCGAACCATCTTGTTGAGTGCGGGTCTTACTTCAGGCGAGCGGAATGTCCGGATCAGCCTCCAGTGCCCAGCGCCAAGGTCACGTGGTCCTTCTGCCTGAGGCGGGAGCCTCTGCTCTTCCAAAGCCGGTTGCAAAACCCAGCTGTGCTCCGTAAGCCGCCATGTTCTTCGTCATATCGTGCAACAGTGTCGAGTGACTGTCGAGGCAACACCACGGGGCAACGGGCTGACACTCCTCTGGAACTACGATGAGGCCACGCCGTACGCACACTGACACAGAGCTAGAGCTCAGCGGCTCGCTTTAGTAGCAGGTGTTGGACATCATTCGACGTGCTGCAGATCCTCCTGTTGCTACAATGCCGCCTCAGCCTGTGAAGCTTCAGTTTCAGTCTCCAGCACTGCAAAGCTTGTACTTTGAGCCGGGATGCTCATTGAAAGACATAAAGGACCACGTTGCCAGGTGCGGCCATGCTCACCTGCCTGTGTGTGCTGTGGACAAGGCACGGCGAGCAACAGAGATAAACCGATAATAACCTGGCTTCTGATGGCAGAGAAGCCTTGCATGAGCTGGTAATCCAGCATGCATGTCCTTTGCAGCCTGCTCCAGATGGGCAGCTCGTTCCTTGTCTTATCAAGTCGCGCCCCTTATTATGTTTCATATTGTTAATTTTGTTGCATTCGGGTGGCTCAGCGGAAGTTTTGTCCTGCGCATACTTCGACAGAGTCCGGCTTCCAAGCTTGTGCCTTCGAATCATCATCTGTTCTGGGAAGTGACACATTCGACGATGCAGAGGTTCACCGGATGGGATCTGGATTCCCATTTCAGTGCCAGGTTTGTGGTACGCATCACATCACGCTGCCATCTCCACTGGAGGTCCGAGTACTGTGGGTTGCTGAAACGACCGGGCTGTCTGCAGAAACGATGTTTGTGACTGTGCACAGGTGGAGCCGGGGTCGGATGCTTGCGCCGTGAGCCTCACAGTGTTGACACCGGAAACCTCAGAACTAGCTGCTAGCTGGGATGCCGATGGAAGCAGTACGCGCACTTCATCTCGAGCTCCGTGTCTCGCTCATAACCGTGCAGTGCCTAGACGTCCAAGTCGCGAGGTTGTCCTGGCGCATCACAACGGCGACATTGAGATCAAAGGCGTGCAGTGGTGTGCGATAGCGGCTCCGTGACAGCAGAAGTGCCCGCGCAACGATGCCGGTTGACTCGCCAGTTCGTGTTGCCGATGGCTCACAGGGGCCTCTCGGAAGTCAGGCGGGTTAGATCTTTGTTGCCCACCCCCGTCTGGCCAGGCCGTGGGGACATTGCCAGCTGCAGATTTTCGAGAGATCGGCAGAGACGCCTCGCGTGAGAAAGTGACATTTTCCGAGAAGCACAGTGAAGACGGATGAACGACAATCGCGTGTAATGGGCATACATGAGCGCTGCCTACAGATAGATGGCCAAGACGCAGTTGAAGAGTGAAGGTGCTATACCATGAGTTATTTCAGCCGTTGGCGTCGTGGCTGAAGCTGCAGAGAAGAGCCCGTAGGCGCGTTGCCAAAGAAGGTTGACACCATCCGGGGACAACCTTGGCCCCAAGCATCCCATCCAACTCATCCCACTGGCAGCTGTGGCCAAGTACGACCAGCCTGTATGGCATCTCTCAACATCGTGCACCTCCACCCAACCCAGCCCCCGGGAGCCCGATAGTGCTTTGGCCCCCTTCACAAACGCCTGGCCACACGATGGTCGTGAAGGCCGAGCTAGTGCCGATATCACGGGGCATTTGATGTCTAATCGGGACCATGCAGATTCGAGTCTTGATATAGAAAGAGTTTCGCCAATGAGGACGGCCTTGTCAGTGTATGATGACCACATTCTTGACTCCCCGGCAGGACGCCGCGGTGCCTAAACGACGGCGCCGCGGCAGCCATGTTCCAGTCGAGGCCAGCTAAATCTGCATGAGGAGGAACTCGTCATCCCTGTGCCGTGCATTTGTCCAAGAAACTGACATCCGAAGCTTGTGACTTTGCATATGTTGGATCACGTCTGCTGCGTGCAGACTGCCCGCCAGTGTCGTTACTCACGCAGCAACCAGTGTCATGCAGCAACAAGCAGCTTTGATACGAGGTCCTGGTCCTGATTGTCACAGCAAACGTAGCACAGTGCCCGAAGCATCCTTAGCCTGTCCTAGCGTCCTCAAATGGACGCAGCAAACTGGACTCTGGCAAATGTGGCCCATTGGCACTTGGAATGCGTTGCCTAGCTCACAGCGGCAGAACGGAGCCGCAGCCTCCGTGGCATTCTTCCCTGCTCCAGTCTCCGCTTCAGCCGAGATGCTCAAAGTCAACCCGGCTCAGGCAAGACTCCCTTGCACTTGAAGTCCCATTCGAGAACCCTCCCTCAGAGTCCTTGGCCTCACGACTAAGCCCTGGGCCCTGAGCCTTAAACCGTTCAACCTGAGGCGTGGCAGCTTTCAAGCCTGGCGGGCAGCACACTGCTCAGCGTGGACAGCTTTTCGTATCGAGGACCTCTCTCTGTGTCCGTGGGCCTAGCAGCATGCCTGAGCCAGCGTGCCTTCCAAGAGAGAGTAGACAAAGGCAAGCAGAAGCCGAACAGCAGCCGCTTCCATCTATCCAACCTTCCTTCGAAGTGGCACGGGGTAAATTATGGAAACAGGTTCATCCCAGAAGATTGGATGAAGCACCCTTACAACTTCTTCGACAAGGTCCGCAAGAGTGCACGCAGAGTGGCTTTGTGGGATCTGCGAGGCCCTGAAGCAAAGCAGAAAATGCTCCGATGGCTCGATGCCACGATATGCGAGACTCACTTCAAGGAGATGCACAGATGTGGTGTTGAAGTGCTCCGTGTTCCGTGTGGCTACTGGAACTGGGTGACCTATGAGGCCGACGATGGGCCTGAGGTCCCTGACTCGCAAGAAAGCATCCAAGAGCGCTTGAAGAACTTGCATCGCATTGCTTCGCCGCACGAGTATCGTATCTACTTCGACAAGATCTTTGACTTCGCTGACAAGCAGCTTAGCTGAAGACCTAAGAAGTGTTGGGCTTGCAGAGTTCAGCTGTTTGCAGAGATCCCTTGCTTACATCCCCCTGTTTCGCGCAATAAGCAGCTCGCATCGTCCAGGATCACTGTGACACCCACACACACACACCTATATGAGTGTTTCTATACATATACACACACACACACACACTTATATTTTACCAAGGTACGGGATCAAGGTTTTGCTGGACCTTCATGCGCTACCTGGGTCCCAGAACGGAGAGATCCACAGCGGTGTGTGCATCGAGGCTCTCTGGTTGCAGTTTTGCAGTTTAAGTTTCAAGGCAGGGCCTCAGGGTTGTGGGCCGTGTGCAGGAGAAGGAAGAGCACTTGGGCTTCGTGCAGAACGATGCGAACCTTCGAACCTCTGTTCGTGCAGTTCGTGCCATGGCCGAATTCGCAAGCAAGAAGCCGAATCTCTTTGGCATCCAGGTCATCAGCGAGCCGCACTTGCACACGGATGAGGGGCACGAGTTCCTTCGCTCCTACTATCAGCAAGCCATCTTGGCTGCTCGTGACTTCCTGGACAGGAGGGTTCCAGTGGTTTTGTTTGAGTGGACCTATGAGATGCACCGCTGGGAGAAGGGGGCTTTCCCTGAATCGACCTATGGCAAGGTGGTCTGGGATACGCATCTTTACCACTTCCCCGACAAGGGCCAGAAGTGGACCTCGAGAGACCAGGGCCTCGAGAAAGCCAAGGAGGCCTATGCCTGGGATCTGCAGCAGCTCCGGCACTTTTCCCGGGCGCAAGGCGAGACGGTCTTCGTGGGCGAGTTCTCCCTTGCAGGGCCAAGCTTGAACATGAAGGAAACGCGTGAGTTTGCCCAGTGGTTGGTCGATCAGTTTGACTTTGCTTGCGCTGGCTCCTTACTTTGGTCCTTCGACAACTCCATCACTGCTTGGAGCATGCAGCGGCAGATACAAGAGTGGGGTCTGGACTGGAAGTCTATCCTTCGTGGCGAACGTGGTCGTACAGTCGAACATCCACCAATCAAGATTGAAGCTGCCCCCTTCGGCACTTGGCTCACTGCTACCGAGAAGGGGGCTGTGCAGGCAGACGCCCCAGACCCCTCCTGGTGGGAAGAATGGGTGCCATACTCCTATCAGGTTGAGGGGAAGTCGAAGCTTGCATTACGTTCTGCTGCTCATGGGACTTGGCTCAGCGTGACACAGGAGGGTGAGGTGATCCAGTCCGATTACCGGTCAGCTTGGGAAGAGTTCTCGGTCCTCTTTCGAGAGAAGACGGAAGACGGAAGGCAGTGCATCTCACTGCAATCCTTCCACGGCTCATGGCTTGCAGTGCGACGTCCCCGGCCGACTGATCAACTCCTGCTCTCTGCACAGATCGATTCCGAGGCCACCGCCTGGCTTCTGGCATAAGACCGATTCGAAGCCTTGATACTCGTAGTTACTTTAGGTGTTTCACACGCAGGACCTTTGAATGTTCGCTTCGTAGTTTGTTAGGCTCCTTGTATGCTAAACATGCATGCAAGGTTGAAGTCCTGACAGGTTCTGGAGGCGTAGGGAATCGACGAAGTCCCCTTACTCCAAGGATGCTAGATCTGCTCCAGGGATGTCGGTTTCCCAATCGCTCCTTAATTGTCTTAATGGCCTATTGCACCGTTGCGCGGCTTTAGAAGCTTAATGGCCTCACTGTACACATACTCGTACCAGTTCTTGCAACCGAAGCCCTGCAACGGTGTGCGTTTAATCTTAAACGATGGACTTGTGTGTCGTCCTTGAATAGCTGCGGCCGTTGTTCCTCTCCAGATGTCCGCAAGCCTGCAGAGCCACTGGAAAAAGAGGTGCCAGCCGCCCTGCTCGTGTGTGGGTAGCTTTCCGGATTCAGGATGCTCGCCCCCGGGACGACACCCGCAACAAACTCCCGAATGTGACTCACCACCTCACAGGTGCCCATGCTTCGTGATTGTGATTGCTTCTGCCCCAGGTTGATGCCATCGACCTGGACTCGGACCCTGAGAAGCCCAAGAAGAAGAAGCGGAAGCAGGCCGGAGTTGCATGGCTCGAAATGATTCATCTAAGAACCTTCTGTGTTCCCGGAGCGACGCTTCCGGGCGATGGGACACGATCATGATGCATTTGCCCACCAGCCCTTTCCGGCGGCATGCGTTTGCACCAGCACGGAAGCCCTGGCTGATGTCTACTGCCACTGGCATGCTGTGCCCTGCCCAGGCACACGCAGAAAGGAGGGAGCCGGAGCACCGCAACAAGGCAGAAGGCTGTGTTCATGTAAGAGTTCAGCGCATCTGATACTTCTCCCAGGCTCCGCCAGAGGCTCGGCCGAAGCCTCTTCGACAGGTCCGGATCATGTCCGACTTGTGCTGTTACCCTGTTGCATGATGCGTGGCCTTCACCCCAGGAGAAGCACGCAGAGAAGGCAAAGAAGAAGCCGGAGAAGGAGAAGAAGAGCAAGAAGCACAAGAAGCGAAAGGAGATCAAGAGTGATGCACGTCGAGTGTAGATTCAGTGTAGATGCACGCAGGTTGTAAGCATGGCGATTTTGTGAGACTAAACCGCGCTTGAGCATACTCACCGGTTGAGGATCATGGTGACTATCCAGACGTCGGGATGATGAGCCACAGCACTATGTTCACGCCCATGATGGGCATGATGAGGCACCGGGTCAGCTTTTCTTCGTAGGCTTCCAGAGCACGGCCTCATTCTGCGACAGGTCGATGAGCTATGGCGTCATGCCGGGGATGACCATGATGATGATTCTTTGCCGCCATGTGTTACCCTTCTATTATGGTTCTTGCCGTTACAAACCTCACTAGTATCACTACTAAATTATCATTATTATTACGATTATAACTAGGTAACAGCGCCTGGTACGTGACCGGCGTTTTGTGGCGTAGCTGAAGCAGGCAATGTGCTAAAACCTAGGGAAAACGTGTATTATGACTAAAAAGTTGTGCTAGGAAAGGCGGAGAATCCCTGTGACAGGTCGATCGTTTTAGCGAAAAAGGTGATGGCGCTGCAGTAAAACCCACTTTTGCGAGCACCGCGCTACGCAAACTTGATCTGAGTGGACGTTAATATGGTTGACCCGTGGATGCTCTGCGTCAATGAGATCTGGTCTGAGTGGACGTTAACATGGTTGACCTATGGATGCTCTGCGTCAATAACATGGACCACCCATGGATGGTTTGGGCGACGTGGGTTGTAGCAAGTGCCGAACACACCGGAATTACCGGTGTGTTCGGCATATGACCCTAAGGAAACATGGCTTCGATCAGAACTAGAGCTTGGGCCTGCCTGCGACGGAAGTCCGCAGTTCTGGGACTCAAGGGTCGGGACTGGCCGGAATTAGCCCCCACCCCCCCCCCCACCCCAGAAAAGCGAGAGGACGTACAGGACGCACACCAGGCGTTGTCACCTATAACTATAACTATTACTATTATTATTATTGTTATAGTTTTTATTATTAGTACTATTATTATTACTATTATTATTATTATCATTATCATTATCATTATTATCATTATTATTATTACTACTATGATTATTATTATTATGTGTAATATGAGTTTTTTTGTCAGACTCAGATCTGAGCACCCCGCACCCCCCACCCCCAACGCTCTTAGCAGGATCGCATCTCATGCACTCAGAGGGAGGTTCGAGGCTGAAGAGAAGTATAGATCGCAGCTTGTGGGAGCATGTGGGATCTAGGGCCTTCCCGTGGGTTTCTGGGAGTTTTTGGGGCTTTGGGGTTTCGGCTTTCCATAGAGGTCAGAGGGCTGGGTGGGTTCAAGAATCACGGAAGGCAGCTGTTGAAGCGGACGAGCTTTTGCTGCAGCTACGAGTAGCACCAAGGATGCCGGGGATGATTGCTCCCGGGCTGATGGGCGGCCATGCCTCTTCCCTATCTGTTCTTGGATGTGTGGTCAGTGATAATGTAGGAACCTGATCAAGAAACCTTGGGCCTTAACTAGGGTTCCTTATATGAATCCTAGTGTTTTGGGGTTATAGGCCCAAGGTTGCTTAACCAGGTTCCTACATTGCATTGAACATGAGACCGGCTCGTGGTTTCACGAGGTTGGCCAGATGGCCATGCATGGAGCTGCGGCGATGCCGTACTTTCCGCCAGGCCATGCCACCTCACGTGTCTGTGTAGCTGCAAGCGTTGTTGCTGGGCAGCTGTGTCATCAGACTCAACAGGATTGGGAGTTGGTCTTGAGTTGGCTGAAGTTTCGTGTTGCCGCCAAACTGGCAAAATGCAGGTGCTCCTGCAATTGCACCGGCTTTGCAGGCGAGATGCAAGCATAGATAAAGCAGCGACTGCCGATGGATCCAGCTTTGCGTACCAGGCAGCATCATAGCACACTTCTTCCGGCTTCCAGGCAAGAAAGCCCGCTGCTTCGACAAAGCCGGAAAAGGCTCCGGGGCGAATTTCTAGGTCGAGGCATTCATCTTGGATCCGTACAGGTTTTGAAAGTAATACTGGTACGTGTGTCCACCCGTCGCAGCAGAGTCTTTCAATCCCTGCACGGAGGTCTCGGTTGCAGTCAAAGATGATGCCAGGGCAGAAGCTCAGGCCTCACCAGCTCTGGACGCGCCGTCAGTCTCGTGTCGAAATCTTTCAGCGACTCTTGAAACGGCTCAATCCTCTGGGCTATCACAGAGGCATGGAATCAGCACTTAAATTGACAGAGCGCAGCTCACTGCTACACAAACTCAGATGCGAAATCTAAGTGTCGACTCGTGTAGACACATGTTGCAGCATGTACTGGTAGCCCCTGCGGCAGTTCCCAAAACCAGAATGGGCATGTTGCGCAATGCAGCACGGAGCGCCAAACTTGTGCTGGGCGGAGCGACCGCAGGCCTAGTTGCAGGCACAGCCGGGACAGTGCATCTCGCACAAGGCGGGGGTGGACAGAGCTGGTGGGCGAAGCAGTTCAAGCTGCAGTTCTTTCAGCCCTTCCTTACCCAGAACAGCTCATCTGCAAGTGCAAGTGATGAGACAAGTTTGCGGGATCTCCAAGTTCTGTACCAGTGCCTTCGCTGCATCGGGCTAACTTTGAAAGTGCCCCGCCCGGCTGCCATAGTTATTCTTGCAACCTGCTCATTGAAGAGTTTGTTCCACGCATCCAGGGTAATTATGCATGCTTTGAAAAGTAAGCAGCGCCGCCAGATGACTAGCAGCGGCCAGTCGTGACAGAAACGGTCCGCCTGCCGTGTGGTCTCGTCACACTGGGACCTATGCAGCTGCTGTTTGTGGTCACGGAGTTACGGAACATGTCATGAGCCCCTAAACCTAAAACCCCTCAACCCCTTAAACCGTAAACCGCGAATATCCCTTAAACTCTCCGTGATGTTAAGCAAACTTCGTACTGAGGCAGAAGATGACAGCTCTAGAGCTCGTCGCGGAGATGCAGCGAGAGGAGATTGCGGAGTTGCTTGATGCAAAGACGCTGAAGGGCCCGGCGACCATGCCCCCGAATTCTACGGAAACCGCGGAAAGTCCTGCCCTTGAAAAGAAACGCGCGGACCTTGCAGACGAGAAGCTTGGACAGGGCTCTTGAAATTCACAGATGCAGTGAAGGTGTGCTTCGTAGGAAGATAGTGAAGGTGACAAGGCCAGACCTGATTGCCAGGACATTTGTACAACGAGCTCAACGAGTTGCAGGGGTTGCGAGCGGCAGAAGAGAAAGCGCGGGAGGAATTGCAAGGACTGAGACTCATACACCTTAGTCTTTGCGTGCAGTGGTGGGTAGGGCCGCAGCCCAGAGATGTTCTGGCGGTTCACTGCTTGGGGGTACTTAGAAAAAAAATTCTATTTTTGGTTATTATAATCCCTTAAGATTATAATGTTTGCCAGGGTTCTAAGTTCAGTATAGACTGTCCTTGAGCAACGGTGGCTTTCCCTCCTCGACAAGGTTTTTAGGAGTCCAGGCTGCAGGGGAGGATCCACTGATATGGGAGTTTCCGAAAATTAGGGGTTCCTCTTTTTTGGGGTCCTTATAATAGGGATCCTACTATTTAGGGTACTATAGTAATATTAAGGTCCCGTATTTTCGGAAACCCCCATATATCTGTGCCCCGGCACGTTGTTGCGTGGCCAGTGGTGGTAGACAGGCGTATTGCATGCTTGCAAAGCATCATGATGCGCAGGACAGCTCGCTCGGAAAGTTGCAGACATGATGCAGCTGCAGCAGGCAGCTGTTGCTGTAGAAGCTTCATGACATCAAGCTTCGAACACGAAGTAGTTTGAAGGTGCTTGGGGTTCCTGTGTGCGAATGCCCCATGAAGTCAAAATGCGCGAGCAGGAGTTGGATGAAAGGAAGCAGGAATTGGAGCGTGCTAAGAAGTTGAGCAGCGATGACATCGCTGCCTTGCAGAAAACGATCCAATCGCAGCAGCTTGAGAACAACAAGCTCGGACAGGGCTTGAAGTCTAAAGTTTGCTTACTGTTTTCCATGTCCAGGTATCAAGGTCAAGCGAGGCCCTAAACCCTAAATCCATCAGGACAAAGGTACGGTGAGCTCAAGAAGAGCGAGGCGAAGAAGGAGCAAACCATCACCGAGCTCCAGCAGCTGCGAATATCCGAAGAGAGAAGCCGGACCGAGCTACGAGGACGAAAATTTGAGCCGAAGCACCCAAAGCCTCAAGCATGCAGGGTTTGAGGATGCGTATCCGGAAGTTGGGGAGGAAGGAAGGAGAGAAGGAAGGGAGGCAGGAGGGGAGAGAGACCAACGACAACCGAGACTCATTAAAACCAGCAAGATGGCTCAATGATTGGGCGCCTCTTTGATTAAGCGTACATATCTAGCTTTCCACAGCTTTTCGCAGGAATCTGCAAGAAACTAAGCAAAACCTACGACAAGCTAAGAGAAGCTAAGAGAAGCTAAGAGAAACTAAGAGAAACTAAGATAAGCTACGGGTTTCCTGTATTGAAGTATGTCCTGGGCTGGGAAGCTACGGATTTCCTGTGGTACAGTGTGCCCTTGAAGGGCCTGTAACAAGTGAAGACAAAGCAGGAAACTACAGGTGGGTGTTATTTGTTCCTAGCAGTCGGAGGCGGGCTTTGACTTCTGTTTGTGCCAGCAATCCACTGCCGATCCGTCGGCCATAGCCTAAATGCATTTGTTTCAGGAGGTTCTTTGGCTCAGACCCCGAACTGCTAATATTTTCGTACGATCGGAACCCGCTCTTCTAGGCAAGGCTACCAAAAGCTAGACAAAGCTAGAACAAGCTAGAAAAGGCTAGCGAAAGCTAGAAAAAGCTAGAAAAGGCTAGCGAAAGCTAGATAAAGCTAGAAAAAGCTAGATTTTTCCTGGGTTCCGGGCAAGCCCCAGGGCCAGAGTATCAGAGGAGACCGGGATTTCACTAAAGGAATATCACAGAACACCACGGAGTATCACAGAATACGGGTTGTCACTAAAAGACTTGAATGCAAAGGAACATACCAGAATACCTGGTTCTCAGCAAAGGAATGTCACAGAATACCAGGTTTGCAGCGGAGGAGCTATCTAGCTCCCTTTACTCGTGCTCCGAGCCCAAAGAGGGACCCCATCATGGAGCCATCTTATTGGTATTCCAGAGAGACAAAGAACCTGTGAGGGGAAGAAGGAAACAGCAAGGAAGAGATGAGGACAACAAGACATACATAAATGAGGGAACGAACAAAGGCCGCATACCTGTCCCAATATTAACTGCAACATACCATCTCCTAAACGGCATTGTCTGCTAAATGCTTGTTTCGTCCGTAGCGTACGTATACTGTCCAGAACATCCGTGTTCTTTACTTACTGACACCCGCCTCCTCCGACCTTGCTCGAGTTTGGAAACTCGACAGAGAATAGATTTGGGAAGCAACAACGATAGGATTGTCGGACAACGGCAAATTCCATGTCAAAAGGTTGTGCTGCTAAGAGGTGTAGACCAAGCGTAATCGACAGGAAGTGGGTGGGGGGGTGCTTCCCTCTGTCCAGCCCCACCTTTCTGAATGTTGGGAGGTGTTACCGGGGGTGAAGGGGTTGGGTTCGGAGGTTGGGGATAACAATGCAAGGTCTTTGACTGCCCGCACGGCAGCACGTCCAGGCCCTGCCGAAGCAAAGTGTTTTGATTGCAGAAGGTCATCAAAGAAAAGTGAAAAGGCAGATGACTCGAGAAATGGAAGCCCAGGCAAGACAAAGAATAACAGCACGTTAGAGCGCAACCCGGAACACAGAACACTGTACCATGAGTTGATCCGCAAAGCATCAACCTCAAAAAATCTGGCTAGCATGCCAAGGCAAGCGAGGAGATCAGTAAAACCGGGAGTGTTGTCAGCAGTTTGCGCATAAGATTTGAGAAGTGACGGCTGCCTCCTCCAATCAGCCTTCGTCTGCGGAAGGTCTGCGCATGCCACCCCGACAGGCGTCTGGAAACCGTTACATACTTGCACAGACCGTCAGACAGTTGTTGTCGGTTTGAAGTCTCACATTCTGGAGCCGAATCCTAGCATCATCGGCCTGGGATTGAGTGTTGCTGTCGGTGCTACAAACAGCTCTCCCCAGCAGCACAGGACAGCTGAAGCAGAAGGATTCCGAGCTGTCCCAGCTGCAGAAGGTCGCGCGGCGGACGGTCAACTCCCAGCCCGCAACCTGCATGTCTCTGCTGGCAGCCAGCAGCTAGCATGACAATGAAGCGACAGACAAGAGCTTGACTGTGGCTTACTGTGCCAGGCTCTAGAGAAGGCATCGAAGGAGACGGAAGAAGCCACGAGAGCGAAGAGTCAGGCAGTTGCATCCATGGAAGCGAAGCTGAATGCGCAGAAGATCGAACACGAGAAGCTAGGACCGGGTTTGCAAAGTTAGTCTGACAACACGCCTGCGGCCTTGTCCGTGTTGAAAAAATCGCAAGGGCGCTGCTCCTGTTCTTTTTCTTTCGCCACGTGGCAGGAACTAAGTACTCGGAGCTGCAGGCAGCTGGTAAGAAGCAGGAAGAAAGGATTGCAGAGCTGGATGGGCTGTGTTCGCTGGAGCAGAAGGGTCGAGAAGAGCTACGAGGACTCGGAAACCATCTCCTCCGGACGGCATGGCATGCATGGCCTTAGATCTGCAAGCAGTCTTCATGTAGCTCTCCCTCTGCAGATGCCTTTAGTAAATCTAGAAAAGTCGAACATCGAAAGCAGGATGAATCGTCTTGGTGTTCTCTCTTCAGTTCCCCGGTGGGGCAGGGCCTAGAGGGTCCTCATCTCTGCCCACAGCCATGGCTCAAGCTTCCAAGCTGCAGCTGCTTCAGGACAGCTCACCGAGAAGGCTTCGCAGATGGCCCAGCTGCAGAAGGTGGGCCAAAGCCGCAGTCCGTACCGGATGATCCAACTGGAACTAGAACGGCTCGTGAAGCGTACCCACGATCATGGCATGCCTTTGCATGCAACTAAGCTGCTGCGAGAGCTCTGAAAAGTTCCCGTGGTTCCGGTTTCCTCCGTGCAGGACTTGGACAAAGCAGCACAACAGATGGAGCAAATGGAGAAGTCGAAGAGTGATGCGGTTGCAGCAATGGAAGAAACTCTGAACGCCCAGCGTGTCGAGCATGACAAGCTAGGACGGGGTTGCTAACTCGCAGCTGCAAACACGTGTAGGATTAAATGTTTTCACTGCTATTCGCAAAATAAGTAGGAGCAGAGCAGTCGCTGAACTGAAAGCGCCACACCACTGATAGAGCATAACGCTTGCACGAGGTCAGAAGACCTCCTTGAATCGGGGAATTCTGAGAAGAACAATAACAAGAAGACGAGAAACACTATGAATAAGTCTAATAAATAGTGTTAAATAGTGAGCCTACCTATAGGCTCCATAGTAGTTCCTTTTTAGGATTACCTTATAGGATGCTAAATATGAACCCCAAAAAGGAACTACTATGGAGCCTCTGGGTAGTTTCCCGCAAGATTGTGCAGCACGCAGGACAGATGCACACCGCTCTGAAGTCCGAAGATGCAAAGAAAGATGCGCAAATCGCCGAGCTACAGTCCCTCTATGCATCTGAGCAGAAGGGGCGGGAAGAAATGCAAGGACTGACATGAAGGAAGCACTCCCACCGATGCTTCGGAGCAGATGTCTTAAGCCCAAGCTCTAAACTCCCTACACCCTGAATCCGAAATCCCCCAGAACAAGCCTACACCCCTAAACCCTAGCCTAAATCCTCCTGCCCGACTAGCCCTTTACTCAGAGAGCTTTGGCCAAGAGTTCCAGGACAGCTGGAGCAGAAAGCGCAAGATCTGGGCCGGGTGAGCCAGGCCAATGCCTACTACATTGGGTTCCGGTTAGGCGCCCCTCAAAATGATCGCCGGGTTCCTACTGTTCGAGCTCTGTGAAAGGTCCCTGATTCCGAGTCTGTATTTCTTTGCTTTGTTGCTATGTGCATGAGTGTCCTAGCTCCCATCATTGTCTTGTCTGTTAACCACGAACATCTCGCAGATTAGTTTGTCTTCACAGCATTATTGATTATGATCACAGCTGATCATCACGACATTCTGCTCTTACCACTGTCATCTCAAGCCTAGCAAACTGCTCTTTCAGTGTGCTTGATGTTATTTCTCCTCTTCTGGTCTGGCTTTCAGGGGCTTGAGATCGCCATGCGGGACATGTCTGCCTTCAGAGCTTCAAAAGCCGAGGACAGGGTTAAGCTGCACGGGGTACATCGGGTCGCGGTTCAGGCTTTTGGGCTTTAGGGTCGAGGGTTCAAAGATTAGGGGTTCGAGGGTTTATGGCAAAGATCTTTGGAGCCAACCCCACCGAAAGGTGGGATGGAAGAAGACATCGGTGCCTCCGCAGGGTTCTTCTGTATCGGAAAAGCCTTCCTTACCAACCCACAAGTTCTGAAGTAGAGCAACACTTTGCCAGCCGGTGTGAAGCCATGAGGGTGGTTGTCAAAACTAAGGTCCCTTCTTGGGTAGCCTAAATAATAGGTGCCGTATTATAATAGGGACCCAAAAAGGGACCATAATTTTGACAACCCCCCATCTGTAGCTCAATGTCAAAGTTTCTGCGGAGGAGATACGCAGCCTGGCAGAGGCCATGAAGCAGAAGGAGGCCGCATGTTAGCTCGGTGGCAAGGGATACCATGGATCACTACGTTCTTAATTAGTTGCCAGTATATATAGATATATACATATACATATATATATATATGTATATATACATACACACACATATGTATATATTTATATATGTAAATAGATAGTCACCATGCAGAGGATAGTGGCCGCCATGTAAGCTGGGGGCCCGCCGGGAGTTAGGATCGCTTTTGGCTGAGGCGCTGCTTTCGGAGGCTCAAGGAGACTTGGAGAAGCTCCGGGCTCGCGAGCAGGAGGCCTCTACCCAACTGCACAAGCTGCAGAGCCGCGCCTGCAAGCAGAGCCTTTCGCGGTTTCGGGCCTAGAACACGGAAGGATGTGAGGTGTTTGAGCAGAGGCCATTCTTGCATTGCATGGAGCATGCATGAGCATGCATGATGACACAGTTGATTCCGACATGTGCAGAGAAGTTTAGAAACCTTACGTGTGTCAAGCGTGGTCTCCGTGTCTTCATCTGATCTGGCCATGCGTGTAAGGCAGTGGAAGGATGAGTGTGAAAAGATTAAAGAGCGCTTTCTTCGGGAGAAGCTCTCTCACATTAAGATTGATCTCTAGGCGCCGTGTGACCACGCAGAACACCTGCGAGGTTTACACATGAGCCTACTCAATCTGCACTCCTGGTGGTTCGAAGGTTGTGACAACCGATCGAAGCCAGCACCCGTAGTACATATCAGAAGCAAGGCCTACGGGGGACCATCCTGCACACTTCCTGTGCCACTTCTCCTTGGACTCCCCATGAGCATCGCTTGAAAAATCTTTGAGACTGCACGTGTTTGACGCGACCTACATGGGAGTTTCCGAAAATTAGGGGTACCTGATATTGGGGTGTTTACAATAAGGATCCTACTGTTTAGGGTGCTAGATTAGCGTCCCCTATCGGGAAACTCCCACATTGGCTTTAGGCCAGGCTTCATGAACTTGGAAGGACATCAGCTCCACACTCTGCAGATGTTGAAGACATCCCAGCCGGCAGGCAGTCGCAGCGGTGCCAAAGGCTTTAGCATCTTCATCTTCTTCGTCGTCATCTTCGTTCGATTCTCAATTCTTTGAGCATTTAGTGAGGCTGAGCTTTGGAAAGAGAGCAGCTGTACATAGTGCAATTGTCTCAAGATTCCCATGAGAAGCCTGGTTTGCATGACCAATAGTCGAATCTGAACAATCGGGTAGCTTGTTGAAGATTCTGTCCAGTGAGCTTGGCGTGGCAAGACATTTTCAAGCTCCTTGGAGGTCATCCTCTTCCTCTTCTACTTCACAGGCGAAGGGGGCAGGCACACCCAAGACCGGCTGCACGGAGCTTTATTTGATGACTACAGTACGTATTATCATCATATTTCTGGTCCCTGCCAGTCCTATCTTTGCCATGATTATTAGACTATTGTCGGCATTGACGTTGTCATCATCCTTTGGATTCTGTGGAGCACTTTGGCTCGAGAAATGCATGAACATCTGAGTCTGAGCCATCATGTGGCATCTAATGGCCCGGTGTAATGGTCCTTGCTGGGAAGAGGCGGCTCGCTTCACACTGATCTTGAACCGGACCCCCTCAGCATATGGTTCTGGCGAGAAGGCTTCACACCTGGAAGGCACAGTTTCTGGGAAGCAGCAGGGATTACGGATCTTCGCTCAGAACTAGGGGAGTAGCCCTTGTCGATACTTGCTTGGTCTTATCTCGGATTGCTGATGCCATGGACAAAGCCGTCGCCCTTCAATTGGCCCGGAGATGCCTGCCGCTCTTCGAGAGCAAAGGCAGCAACATGAGCGTAACATGATGTCAAGCTGGGGAACCAGGGATCCTCGCCCTCGTCCTCACCATCATGTTTACACCAGAGAGTATGTCTAGGGGATAGGGGATGGTGTGGCTCGTGGTGCAGGTCTTGCCAGCGTGGGGGAGATCGAGGGTGTCCGACCTCGCAACTTGCAGCTTGACAGCCCCGGCATGTCAAACGTAATAGAAGTCTCAGGCTAACGTCTACGAGGGTCTTGAGACATGAAGATGTGCTGAGTGCTCAAACTAGGGCCTTCCGTATCTCTCGGAGATCAAACCCGCTTTGCTCTCCAACTTTCGTGCAAAGTTCGTACCGTGTCTAATGCTCCATCTCGCGTGCCAGTCCACCATGCCAAACCCGAAAAGTCGAATTTAAATCACAGGGCCCGGAAGGAAGCTCGCACTGGGCAGGCTCGTGGCTTAAGGCAGGCATGGATCGGTTTCTGGGCTCAGCCTCCTTGCATTGATTACAAGAAACACCGAAAATTCGAAAGCCGGCACAGTCGATCTTTGCTTGAGCTGCAGGCTGGGATTGTGGACGGGTATGGGAAGTGTTGACGAAATCGAGGCTGGGGGTTTCTCTGCACTTGGGACCAGTGGCGCTGCTGTTCTCTTTCGGTTCGCGAGCATTCACGGCATCCACAATTTCGGCCGCCTAAATTATGACAATGGTGGACGTGTGACTTCGAAGATTATGAAAGCAGGAGTAGTAGTCGCCGTCGTGGTCGTCCTCGTCGTCCTCGTCGTAGTGACAGTGGTACTCGTAGCGTGAGTGGTAGTCGTAGTGGCAGCGGTAGTGGTAGTAGGAGGCAGGAGCAGTAGGAGAGCTGGCAGTGGCAGCAGCAGCAGCATCAGCCGACGGTGTAGTTGCAGTCGGAGTCGTTGTCGTGGAAGTTACACTGGTACCAGCAGTAGCAGTAAGCACCGGTAGGCAGGCTGGCGGGAGGGAGGAGGCAGACAGGCAGGTGGGGAGGTAGGGAGGTCGGTGCAGTGGAGAAGGAGGAGTAGTTGTGGTAGGGGTAGTAGCAAGTAGCACCCGTACCAGCAGCAGCAGCAGCAGCAGCGGTAGCAGTAGAAGCATCCAGGCCAGAAAAAGAAACGTATCAATGTTGCTGCCAAAACGTAATAAGCTCTCGGTGATGCCAGACTGCCAGCAAGTTTACAGGTCACTGGAAAGACCGCCACGGAGACCATTGTCGTCAAATCCATCGGTGCACTGGCTGCATAAACGCGGATGGCGCTTTGCGAGTTGATTGCCGTAGGCTGCAGCCAGAAGCCAGAGGACACACAAGCAGGAAGCCATGGTCCGAGGCAGAAGCTAGAAGCTGAGCTTGCTTGCAAAGGTTCCTACAAGAAGTTGGACGATGAGCTAGCATTGGTGGACCATATGTCCTACTACAACGAGGCCACACACATAACTCTGAGAAGGAGAAGATGACACTCTCGCAAAGCTTCTCAATCTAATTGGAACGTCCAAAGTGAGAGCGCCGATCCACCCCGAGAAGACTCCATTGTCGCCTTGCAGAAGTTTTGATGTGTCCAGCTGCAAGTTCTCTCTCTCTACATATATAATTATATATGTATACATACTGTATTTCATATACAGCACGCGCTGTTACATAATGTAAGTTACATGCGTACATATATAGATATATCTCTTATAGCATGTGTGTACATATTTTCTTGCTTATATATACGTACATGCAACGGTACGTAATCTCCGGTTATGGCATATCATGGGTTGAGCTTTTGGAAGGCCAGCTTCTACGAGTCCGACCTGGCGGACCGAATCTGCGACAGCGGCGCACGCTGTCCTCGGGCCTTTCTCGTGGACCGCTCCGAGGATGCGCACATGCTGTTAATGTCATTGTCATTGTTCTGATTATTCCTACTACTACTACTACTACTACTACTACTACTACTACTACTACTACTACTACTACTGCTACTGCTACTGCTACTGCTACTGCTACTGCTACTGCTACTGCTACTACTACTACTGCTGCTGCTGCTGCTGCTGCTGCTGCTGCTGCTGCTACTACTACTACTACTACTACTACTACTACTAACTACTACTACTACTACTACTACTACTACTACTACTACTACTACTACTACTACTACTACTACTACTACTACTACTACTACTACTACTATACTACTATGGTTATTGTAGTTGTTGCTAGTATCTTTAGTAGATACTATTAAAAATAGTTGTAGTTAGTAGTAACAGCAGAGGCAGTAACTAGTTCTAAGGGCTATCGTTTTTAAACTGCGATTATTGTTCTTTGTTGTTGGTGGCATTACGGTTATTGTCATCACCGTAACGAATTAGTATTGCGACTGTAACCAGTGTTACGCTCATTGCGAGTCTTGCTATCATTATTGCTCGGTTTCTGCTTCTTCTTCCGATGATGATGATGATGCGCAAAATATGGCATTTAAGCGGTTTGGTGGTCTAGATTTTGTCTTCTGGATTCGGGCGTCACCTTGTTGTAGGATTCAGCTCGTTTTCGCAGACGTGGAGCAACTTGCAATGCCAGCGGCGAATACTATATATTCGATTATACCCTATTATATACTGCGATTTTCGGCTATACCAAATTACTACAGAACAATACATTGTACCAGGCCCCGGGCAGCGCATGTTTTGTGTCTGATCGCCTCACTCTGAAGGACGGAGAGGTCACGATATGCGGCTCTGCTGCACGTTTGGATCGCGGGCTCAGTGGTTATTGAAGGCCTGTTGCAAGTGGTACAAGGCAGGAGATGTAGGGGCTTGTGGACGTCTGCCGAGGTATGACGAAGCTTCCAGGCCGCGGCTTCTCCCGCAGTCCGACCCAGACGAGACTCCTTGGTCAATATCAAGCTCTCTATTTCTTCAAACCCCTTCCTATCCCAGCCTCCCAGCCACCAAATCAGCCATGAAGCCTGGCCCTCTGAGTAGCTCGCCCAAGGGAAAGGGCCCTTACAAGGCTTACAGGCTTGTGGGATCTAGTGGTTTTTGGCGGGACTTGCATGTTCCATAGATTGCACTGCAGAGCGAGGAAAGCCGCTCTTTCTTGGTTGGCCCGGCTGCACGCCTGCTTCTGGGGAAAGCGAGCGGATGCAGCTATGGCACGGCCGGCAGCTTAGCCTCTTCTTTGGCGTCCGGAACATGGCCCACCATGTATGTACAAAGCAGCCCCAAGGGATGGGGATGAAGTGGGAGGGATGAGTTGGAAGATTTGAGACTGGCCTCCTGGCCGGTCTTACTATATTTAAAATGAGGAACCCCCTAAACCCTATCGTTAGTGTTAAGGCCTAGATGATACTATTTATATGTATATCTGTATATATATATATAATAAGGAACCCCCAAAACCCTATCCTAATTATTTTATGAATACTTGAATGTTCGACCTCTGCAGGTCGGGTCTCTCGGGCCAAGCATGCTTCTGGCACCTGGACACCCGGCAGATTGAGCTGAAAAACATGCCTCAGGCCGGCGAGGGGGCAGGATTTTCGAGCGAATTCCAGGTGTGATGCCGGTTTCTATGGTAGAGCCTATAGTAGTCCTATAATCAACAGGGGTGCATGACATCCCAATCAACACTCCCTGCCTCTCGCGAGACGGCGCACCGACTTGCTGTAAATCGCGACACACATGCCCTCGCACCTCACGATTCAGAGTCTCCGATACTAGAAACAGGTAGATTATGTAAGTCGCGTGTCTCATCGGTGCCATCTCTTGGCACCTTGGAAACGTTGAGAGGATGCGCTGCGCTGGGCTGCGAAGGGCATCGATGCCAGGTTGAAGGCCATATCAAAGCGTGAGCCTGCACTGGGCTTCTCATGGATCTGCGTGGCAGGCAGACAGGATGCAAACACTTTGTCATGGTGACCCAAAGGGTGCAAACATCATGTGGGACGAAGAGGCACGTCACTCCAGCTTGCACTCCACTTCAGAAGCAGCCCTTCATGGTTCGAAGGCGGGAGTCTCTTTCTACGACTTTCAGTGGTTCGGCAAAGCTCCACCCACGAAGGTGCCGGGCCTTGATTCGCCCCCTGCATCGCTGTTTTTGCACGCCACTTGTTCACGAGCTGAAGCACTGTGCCAAACCTGTATGTGTATAGAGGGTGAAGACTAGCGGACATGTTCTGGAGACAGGATCTCGCCTACTTCTTTGGCGTCGCCGCCGGCGGCCTTTCCTCTGAGGAATCCGAACGGGAACTGCTCCGCTTCTATCACGGAGAGCTCTCCAAGCTGCTGGTGCCGTCGATGCACGCAGAACAGAGACCTTTGAATCCGTCTGCAGCTTGTGGATTCGGCTGCTATTGCTGTCGCTGCAGTTGCTGTTGCTTTTGTGTGAGCTTTTGTCACTTGGTGGTAGGCTCTCTTGTCGTCTGTGTGGGTGTAGACTCTGGGTGCTGTATGCCGAGCCCAGGAAGCTCAGGAGGATGCAGTTCCGGACTTCGAGTACCTCTGGAATTCATACCATCTTGCTCTGTGTGATCTGGGCAGGTGGATGAAGGGTGGCCAGGATGATTAGCACTTGTGATCACTGTGTGTGTGGCGCCGTAATTTTGTCAGAGCGAGGTCTGCTCATGACCCGAGGTGGCTTCAGCTTCGGCAACACGCGGCTGATTTTTGGACATGTCCAAGCTCTCCTGAAGTCGCTGGATGGCCTAAAGGAGAAATCTGAAGAAATGTATCAGGCTCCTTAGCTTGCACTAAAGCATGTCACGTGAGTGGCATGCCAACGGAGTGCTGCATGCCGGGCCAACCAAGGACAAGATCTTCGAGTTATATCCGCCGTGAGCATACCTAGTTTGTGCTGGCATGCCTGATTCGATGGTTCTCTATCCCGTGCTACAATCTCATGACTGAGTTCTACTGTAAGAAGCTGTTTGCTGGCATTTCAGAGCCTGGCATGCGCTCTGCACAGTTCGTTGAGTTCGAGTTTGTGCTGTCAAGCAGCGTTCAAACTCCACACAGTGCAACTGCTGATGCATTCGCAGTCCCGACTTTTTCCAACCTTCCGGGCTGCTTTGCAAACGGACGCCTTTCAACCGTGGGTGGCAACGCGAAAGGCAGATCCGGAGCTCAGAGTGTCCTGTGATTGTTACTATAGGGGCTTAAATAATTGCCTACACTGTTATGGGGGTTCCTGATTATAATTACAGTATAATGGGCCCCAAAACCCTATTCTAATGACTAAGGTCCCCATATTACTGTCCTAACAAGAATAATACTGGCAACCAGCCACAACAATACCAATTACTACTATTGTTGTTGCCATTGCGACTGTTTTCCTCACTCGCATTTATCAAAATATCAGATAATGGGCAGTATGTACTATACGCCACTGCAGATTGGGTATGGTGTCCAACATATGGTACTGTATTATTTGTTCTTGTGTGTTCTCTTCCGTTGCTTTGGTTTTCTGTGGACTTTTATGGCCTCGCAATGAGCGCTAAAGCCCTGAACCATGTGGCGAGAGGAAAAGGGGCCAGAGAAAAGGAGAACCTAAAACTGTAAACCCTAAACCCAATGGCAGTAATTATATGGGTGGTTGTCAAAATTAGGGTCCCTTTTTGGGTCCCTGTTATACTACGGCACCTAATATTTAGGGTAACCCATATGGGGATCTTTCTTCGGGATAGCTGTTGCCTCGCGTCAGGGCCGTCGACGGCGGTGCCGGCTGCAGATCCCGTGGGAGACTCAAAGGGTAGCTCGTCGGGACGCAAAGGGCCCAAGTACCATTGCAGTGGGCTCTTAGCAGGTTCTTGGCCCTTCAAAGTATATACTGTAGTGTTACTTGGACCTTTACTTGGAGGTTCATGGGTAGTTATAAGTGGGGTTATAAGTAGAGCAACTATACTTACCGCTCATATTAGGGGGCTTATAACCCTACTTATAACTACCCATGAACCTCCAAGTAGGCCCTAAACCCTATACCCTTATAGAATCTCTATAGTTCCGTTTCAAGGAACCCTTAAAGGACCCTACTTATAACTACCCATGAACCTCCAAGTAGGGGGAAGCATGGCCCGCAGTTGTTGGATCTTCCGCCGTTCGAGGCTCTGGCCCACGAAGGTGCCCCGTGCAGCCTTTGCTGCTTTTGATTATTGTTACGATTACTATTATTATTGCTATTATTATTAGTATTATTATTAGTATTATTCTTGGTATAAATTCTTCTCCAGACGTGCTAGGCTCTGTTAATTGTTTTGGTGCCATGTGGTCATGCGAAGACGTCTAAGTTCGAGTTGGCAGTGCAACAATGTCAGCACGCCTGGTGTTGTGCATGTGCCTGAAGACTGTACGCGTTCAGATGATGCCGCATCAAAACCTACGCAGGCACTTTATTCAGCAAGCATTTCCTACTGCAAACCTTTGGGGAGGACTCCGTGGGTAATCACAGGGAGCAAAGCTTTTTGGATGGAAAAACTTCCATTTCATACTGTGCAAACTTTCTTGTGCAGATGCGGAGCCTGGGGTTGGCCTCATCTCCCCGGAACCGGAAGATGGCAAAGAGGACGCCTCTGCAGCTCAGAACGAAAGTCTGCAGAAGAAGCTTCGAGCACGACTGCTGGTGCTGTAAGCGGTAGATAAGAGCATGAGGTTCTGGCGCATCTGCGCTTGCGGTCAGGAGCATTCGCCTCTCCCAGTGCCTCCTGGGGTGGAGACACCGGCATCGCCGGCAACGCCGCCAGAGCTACAGCCCGAAACCTGGACTCACAGTGACTAGACTTAGACTATGGAACACAGTGTCACATCCATGGATTGACCCGTGTTTCTATCCGTGTTTCTAGCAGCTGACTCTCAGGAGACGGCTTCCTTGCATAATTTATATTCCTTGTCACTGTCACGACGGCGGATCTGTGTGTTCTTGTCGCTGCTATTGGGGCCGCTGGATGGTACAATATTTGGACGACTGACTGCAGCAAAAACAAGTACTTGCATTAGATCTACTTCTCCTATGCAGGCCTACACCCTTGTTATGATGGCTTCTCCTCTTGAGGGTAAGGTTGCTCCTATTGTCATCATCGTCGTTATCGACGAAATCATAATCATCATGACCATCATCGTTCGCATTTCCGATGGAGATGTGTTTGTGACCCTCCATACACGGGTTATTGCGCTACTTTCGTGCTTCTGCTCGGGTTTGTGCTTGTCCTGTCGAATTTGGAATTCATAGCTCGAATCCTTCCACTACGAATCCTTGTTTTCTGCCTGCCCGTGTGCCGGATACCGTGAAACACAGGCGCATCATGGCGCATCTCTCGACGTTGCCGTCGATCTTCCCCATTTTGCTCATCAGAAAGCAACGCACTTCGTTTCTATGAGTTGTACAGGGGATTCTGCTGGAATGTTCGCTAGCAGTTGCCGAGATGTCGACGGCCACATCTTCACGGGTCTGGAGCAGGGGGCTTCACTCGGTTGAATAAAGCTGTTTGTCCTCCTCGCACCCGCCTGAAACTCCTAGCATCTGTCTTTGGCCAACATTGGTCAGGTCACCTGGACCTGACGACGAGAACGGGATTCCAGGTGTGGAGCCGAAGTGCGACCGCGTCGCGGGAGAGTTCCGGCAAATGTCTTTGGCCCACGTCCAGGTGGTGCCTTCCCGCACAACCGGCCCACTAGCTGGGTTGAGGCAGGTCTGTGGCGTAGCTGCATAAGTCGAAGAAACATCGAAGCTCCTGTCAGGTCGAGGGCGAAACCATGGAAGATCTGCAGCGCGAGCTCGAGGTGCCGCCAAATTTCACGGCGAATCGTCATTACCAATAATTACTAGTTTGGGGGTTCCTTATTGTAATTAGAATACAATGGGCCCGAAATCCTATTCCAATCATTATCACTTCACAAGAGTCGCTTCGTCGCAGGTTGTGACCTGTCCGAAGCCCTGCATATCTACGGAGACCCAGACGGACGATCCTCCTGAAGAGGTGCCAGAGGACTCTTTCCGATTCAGTGACACATGTGTGGTTGTAAAAAATCTATGGCCCCTTTTCGGGTACCCTAAATATAAGGTGTCGTACTATAACATGGGTCCAAAAAGGGACCATAATTCATTCTGACAACCACCCACATGACGGGGTCAAGTCGCAGCGGATTTATCGGAACTTGCGGTCTCTATGCGCTTGACCAGGGCTAGCAGGTTTTTCAGCAAGTATGGCTGCATCATCCATGAAGAGCTCGCTAGAACAAGTCCTACGTGCTTCCCTGCCAGGCAATCCGAAGTCCTCACAACTGTTGGTTCTGGGAAACTAGCGAAATTACATCAGCTAGCTAGGCAGGCATGCACGCAGACCGCCCGAGAGACAGACCTGCACACATGCACAAGCGTTAGCCACACGCATAAGTGTTATTAGTAGGAGGAGCAGCAGCAGCAGCAGTCGCGGCACCTCTTCCTTCGGAATGCAGAGGGCAGATTGAGTCTGAGCAGGAAGCGAATCACCCGAGCCTCAAGACACCCAAACCCTAAACTCAAGCTCTCGCAGAGAACAGAGCGAGGACTGTGCAGACCGCTGGTTCTCGGGCTTCGTCGATGCGGTTCCAGCTCGGAGTTCTCATCCAGCCAAGGCACTCTTCCGGTTCCGCCCTATGTCCTTTTCTGATAAATATCTAGTTCATAACATAAAAACATGCATGTTCCATTCACCTAAGTGCGCAAGCCTGCGTTGGTTTGCCCAGCCGGAGAACTTCCAAAAACAAACGAAAACTCGAAAAGTCAAAAAGTCGAAAAGTTTTCCACTTTTTGACTTTTCGTGGTTTCGGGCACTTTTCGGGATCGTGTGTGACTTTGCGGACTTTTCGTGGCTTTTCGTGACTTTTCGACTTTTCGTGTTTTCGGGTACTTTTCGGGATCGAATGTGTGACCTTTCGGACTTTTCGTGACTTTTCGTGTTTTCGGGTACTTTTCGGGATCGTGTGTGACTTTTCGACTTTTCGGGTACTTTTCGGGATCGAATGTGTGACTTTTCGGACTTTTCGTGACTTTTCATGTTGGTTTATATTGTTTGCGACTTTTTGACTTTTCGATTTCTCCCGTGCTTTTATGTTTTTCAGGAATTCAACGATTTCATTTATAAAGTAAATGTACAGTATATTTACATGCAAATTTACATACTAGATAGACTCGACTGTGTATACTGTACTCTTCATAGACATACACGATATGTACCGTATATTTGCATGTAGCCTTGCTGTGTATAATGTACTCTTTAAATACATACACGATATGTACCATATATTTACATGCAGCCATATACTGTATATGCTATATATATATATATATGTAGTATATTGTGTATGCATATGTAGATACATGTTGAAGTTGTGGCATAGGAAAAAAAGGAGTTGCATGTATGTATATAGAAATGTTTACATGCATACATACAGACATTGCATATGCTTTATATATATACACACATATATACACATATATGCATATGTATATATATATATATATATATATGTGTGTGTGTGTGTGTGTGTTTACCTATATATATATATGTGCGTACATCTTTATCTCTCTCTCTCTATATATATATATATATATGCATATACATATATACATAGAGTAAATGTACCAGATATTCACACATAACGCTTACATACTAGCTAGACTGTGTAGGCCCTACTTTCTTATAGACGTTGCTGTGTATGTGTGTATGTATGTATGCATGTATGTATGTACTTAGTAATATATATGTATGTATATGTTGCTCTACATACATTCAGTTTACCTATGCCACAACAACAACGTGTATCTGCATATGCATATGCAGTATATGTTATATATGTATATATCATATACAGTATAGACAAAATTTAGATGCTATATTTAAATATATGGTACATCTAGTGTATGTACATACATATATGTGTATTCTCAGCAGTAGTAGTTCTAGAAGTAGTAGTTGTTGTCGTCGTCGTCATCCTACTACGAATATGTACTCCGAGTATTGTATGCATATCCTTCCGAGCAAGCAAACTAGACAACAGGCTTACCTGGACACAGCATCTGCGGAGTGGCGGAGGGGTGAGGACATGCGGAGCCGTGGGACGGAGGTCACCAAAAAGCTTGCCAGGTGCTTTGCATGGTGGCTTTGTGTGGCACCATCCATCCTGCTCATGACTTCCAGACTTGCATACTGCTTTCGGGCCTGCTCGCTTCTAGGCCTGATCTGCTTTTGGCTTTCGCTGCTTGACGTGCCTTTTTTTAAACTTTTTGACTTTTTGACTTTTCGCGTTTTCGGTACTTTTCGCGACTTTTCGTAATTTTTCAACTTTTCGACTTTTCGCGTTTTCTGTACTTTTCACAACTTTTCGGATGTTTCAACTTTTCGACTTTTCGCGTTTTTCGGTACTTTTCGCAACTTTTCGGATTTTTTGCTACTTTTCGACTTTTCGGGAGAAGCAACTTTTCGCATACAAGCCTTCGCTTTTCAACTTTTCGACTTTTCGGCTTTTCGCGTTCCGTTTGGCATTCTCCACCTATCCGCGCCCACAGCCATTCGCAAACACAGTGGCCATTCACAGATATCATATATAATGATGGACATCCCTCAACTTCCCACAGCTTTCAGACGGACCCGAACCCTGAATGGGGAGAAGCTTGCGATGTGCATTTGATCTCCGTGCGCAGGTTACCACAGACCTTAATGCAGAGGCCGGTGGCGGGGGTTGGGTCCACGGGCAGGTGCTTCGTGATGTTCTGCAGCCTCGAGTTTGTAACTTTTGAAAGTATTCCCCTGCAGGCGGCTAGCTCCTCCGACTCTGACTCTGACAGCAGTGACAACGACGAGGCTGCCATGTACATACGTCATTCTTCTACTACTGTTCAGTTTGCGTATATCTTTCATGCTTAAAGCACGACTTGTGGACCTGATCTCGAAAGCTCCAAGCCGTACGAGGTCACCTGCAAGCCCGAGCGGCAGATACGTCGTCGGTCAGCTGGCAGCCGGAGACTCTCACGTGCTGGTCTTTGGTCCAAGAGCAGATGGGCATTTGCCTCCTAAGCCCTACACCCTAAACCCAAAGTCCCTGAACCCCTAAACCCAAAGTCCCTGAGCCCCTAAACACCAAAGTTCCTAAACCCCTGAACCCCAAAGTCCCTAAACCCCTAAACCCTGCGGGGCCCAGGCCTGAGCCGCGATCGCGGGGATGGGCCGCAGCCTTTGCAAAAAGGTTTAGGGTTTGCGGGGTTTAGGGTTCGTGTGGTGTGAAATGCCCATATATACTGTAGGGCCAAAATGAGATCCTCAAGCTCTTCTCTATCAAGAAAGCGTGGAAATCAATAAGATATGTAGCGATATCATTGGCATAAAAGCTTATCTGGTTTTCATAGCTCGTAACATCAAAACTGATACGTTTCAAACACAGGTAGCGGCATTCATATGACAACAATATGAACAGCAGTCTTGTGGTACACGATTATTGTGACGTTGACACTTGTAATTTGTCTGCTTCCCAGCATGAGAAGCCAAGGCCACAAGAGCCCGAAGCAAAGAACGCAACAGCCGTGCACCCAGTACTTCACAAAGCTCTCGCGTCATGTTGCATTGCTGGGCTTCCAGGCAGAGCCCGAAAGCAGCAGCAGCAGCTCTTCGTCGTCCAGCAGTGACTGGGATGGAATAGTCTTGTGCTAAATTTCATCTCTCTGGTGAACTGTGCCGTTGTCTTTGTCCCAAGATCTTCACAGTGCCGCCGCTTACTCAACCACCATCATGCCATGACATCGCAGTATGCTGCAACCACGTTTCTTAAGCATGCTGAAGTTAGAGGGAGAACTGAGCGTGAAGATTCAATGCCTCGTTCTCGCAGAAGCTGCGAGTAAAACGTGGCTGGCTGGCCACAAGCACTGCGTGGCCGCAAATAACAAGTAACTATGCTCATGCGCAAAGGGTGATCACAGCTCGGAACTCTTCCTAGCCGTCACTCCAGCCATGAAGTCTGAAATCGTCAGATGAAGTGAGTTGCAGCACTGAATCACGTGGTTTGAGGGTTCCTTAGATCGACATCGGTGACCTTACTCGCCGAGCCGAATGCTAGATAACATGCTCGTGCTGCCATGGAGTTTGAGCGTGCTTTGTTTCGTATTCATCAGAAGACGCTCCTTGCAGAGCCACTGCGCAAGCTGCGGGTACAGTCCGAGAGGATCTTGCCAGCTATCGTGACTATCCAGGTGCTCTTGTTGGCGGCGCTGCATAGCTCCTACGTTGGCCAAGCGAGTTGCCTACCGGAAGTTCTTCAACGAGCAGGGCTTTGGAACGACACTGCTTCGAGACCGTACCTCCCAGAGGATACTTTGCTATACCTCACGATTACGCTTGGGGACGGCGTCACAGGGCTGACCATCGTCGAAGCTGGAAGCCACAGGTCAGCAAATCGATCCAGCTCGAATCATCTTCGACTTGAAGATGCTTCCGATGTTTTTGGTACCTACCGCTTTGCTTTGGACCGCGAGATAGTACAAATGCACAAGCCGGTCTTTGAGAAGCACAACTTCGAGGTGCGAAACGTGTCGCTGGCGCAAGCTTGCCTCGCGCCCTTGACGCCCCTGGCGGATGCCTTGCATTTCTTCAATGCTTGGGACGGCCTGGTTATAAATGAGTTGGCCTACAGCCTTCGGTCCCGGGGATATCTGGAAAGGATGGATGGCGATGAAGTTCTTGAGGCCTGGGCCTGGACCAAAGAACAAGTTGAGTCCCCCAATCCTGAGCAGGGGCGCTCCTGGCTGGCCTCGCTCTTCCGGAAGCTTCTCATACTGCTCGGTTCTCTGCTCTCCTTCGCATTAATATCTGCAGTCACGGGACTCTTCATACGCATCGCCGTGCATGGTTCCGCCGTGCTCATGTTTCCGCTTGCGTTAGTGGCACAGACGATGGGCTTGAGCTCGTCCCGGATGTCGATAAACGTGCTCTCCCGCAGCTTTCCATGGATTGGAGTCCATGTGGATGTTTTGCGGCGTGGTGGTCGTCCTGTTTGGCCTTTGCTTCGATCGCACATGGCGTTTCTGCTTGTGCAGTCTTTCGCATATTTGAGCTGCAATCTGGCTTGGAGGTTTCTGCTTTATCGAAAATCTTCGCCAGAGGGTTTTGAAGAGAACATCTTTAGCTTGTGTTCGCTACTTGAGCTTTTCAACTTGATCTTTGTGCGATCTCCGTCTTCGGCAGCGCTGTACCCGAAGGTTGCCAGTGCCTGCGTCGTTTATCTCCACTTCTACATATTCTGTTCACTGTATCCGTTTCACGGCCTGGCATTTCTAACTTGCGTTGGAGCCTGTGCATATGTCATGGTATACTGCTTAAACCATTTCGAAGAGCCCGCGCTTCGGGCAGACCCTTTCAGCAACACCACGCCCACGGTGGCTCATCCACGAGCTTTGTACCTGCCCCTGTTGTCACCGTCGTGGACTATTGAAGCAGCTCCGCTGTGGACCATGTTCTACCCGCCGGAGCATGCGTCGACGTTCCCGGAAGATGCTATGCGCCACATACAAGCTGAAGAGTACAACATGCCATGACGAAACATGTCAGCCTGCGACGATGGGCGAGAAAAGCTAGCGCACTCTCCGAGAGATGCCTAGACGGATTAGATTACAGAAGTCCCCCTGCATGCCCTCGCTTCGTCCTATAGCCATCCTTACTAGCAGCACAAGTCTTCACTACAGCTAGGAGACTTCAATATTGAAAGAGTGTAGAGAATTAGCGCTGCAATGAAACACTGTGCGCGACAGCACCAAGTGTGACAACGGCAAAAGCAGCCAATCGATCAACGTTCGTACTTGTAGCAGAAACGCTAATTAAGGTACTTAGTAGGCATCACCGCACGGATCATTCCAGCCAAAAGCAAAGACGTAGGCAGACCACGGTCAGAATCGAAATCACCGAAAGTGTCGCAGGCATCCGTATTCCCAATCCCACACAGTGCTACTTGTAAGGCTAGGAAAGAGAAGAAGACTGATAGGTGGCTCTCGCCAGCGGCAACGAGCTCCTTCTTCAGACGAGGAGCGGGGTCCTACTACTTTTGGGCATCCCTACTGGGATGCCTTCTGATTTGAAAGTCCCGTCTGCGTCACAGGAAGCAGCAAAGGCCGAAGGCAAGAGACTAAGCTTCTTAGCACCTGCTGCCTTTGCTTTATCGATGACGTCAACGCCTTCGATCGTTCAAGCTGTCTGAGTTTTTGTCTACATGTGCCTTGAAAAGTGTAAGCAAGGTGCAGCTCCTGCCAGCGAGATGCAGGGAGCTCAGAAAAGCGGCAGAAGGTGCTTGTCAAGACGTCCTTCATCGGTCCACGGTGGTATGTCCTCGCATCCTACATCGTACCAAACTATCCTATAATATCCGATACTATGCTATGCTATACCTGTGTGTCCAGTGTGCTGCCAGGCCAGTGGATCCGCGCAGTCGCGTTGTTCAGGACATGCGTTGAAACCCGATCAGGTGCTTCATTGCGACTTCATGTTTCCTGTTCCGATAAAGAGGACTACTCCGACGTTTTCTGATCTGACAGACTGTGTCGGCAGTGAGATGAGGAAAGCTTGGGGAAATTAGAAGGACATATCGAGGATGGCATAAGACAATTGAGGCATCTCGGGCGAACATTTTCCCCAGCTTGTTGCGCCAGCTGTGGCCGGCTGTTCTCACCCAGCAACCACATGACCCTGCCCATGTCGGCCCACAAAAGGCACGACTGTTGACTGAGCTGCACGCAACACCTGCATTGAGTTGTTTGAATTACTGTCAAGTGACTCTCCGCACGTACACAGAAATTGAAAGTGGCACGTTCAAGAGCGGGTCCCTTGAGATCTACTTGCATTTTGAAGCATGGGAGCGTGTACTTGCTGTTTTGCATTCAGGCGCAGCCTTTTTCTTCAATGGTCTTGTCTCAGTCTCAGTCTTGAATGTGTCTTCATGTCTTTTATTGAAGGTATCTGGATTGCAAGGGTTTGAGGGAAGGGTCAGACAGTAGACTTTATTGGGGCGATAGGCTGTAGGTCATCCTCTCGACGAAGCGATGCTGGAGGCTGCGCTCTCAGGATGCAGCTGCATCCGCACCAAGACGGTCCAAGAGTTCAAGAAGCTCACCCGCGAATGCCGAGAGCGTTCGCAGAATGGGAATGTCATCCGCCGAATCTAAAGCCAGGTCTTTCCAATCGATACCGCAACGTAGTGCCACTTCCAAACGGCACGAACGGCACGAGCCGTACGCCGGACGGAGTCAGTGGTCCTCACCCTGTGGGTGCAGAATACCGACACTTGAACGGGAACCCGCGTTCAAGCTGGTCGTCCAGCGCAGAGGCTCAGATTCCGCCTGGCTCTGGTCAGTCGCCGCTCTTGACAGCTCATGCGCAGCCAGCACGGCATGCACGGCAAAGAGCCACGTCGAAGGATGAATCGCAGATGGAAGCCCAAGATGGAAGGAGCCAGGCCTCTGGGTCCGAAGTACCCATTTCTGCCATGCACTCAGACAACCAGAAGCTGCAGTGTTCCCTACCAGAAAGAATCCCAAAGCCAATAAGTGCAGCTGAGGCCGATGCAGATCCACCTGAACAGAAGGCTTTGGGAATCTGGAAAGCGGCACTTCGAATTCCAGGGAAGATGTCTCCTTCTTGATCTCCCCTTGCAGGTGCGTGGTCCTCCGCAGCCAGCCAGGACTTTGCCCGGGCTCTCAGCGATTTTCACACTGAAGTTCCCTGGTCGCCCCAGTCGTTCTCGTGTCCTTGCCGCTCCACTGTGAGTCCACTGTGAGACGAGCCTACGAGCCTCCAGCAAAGGCCCATTCCTGGTCTTTAAAAAGGCCTGACATGGTGCGGAGCATCTCCATTGCTGTGGGTATGTTTCTGTGTGCCCATAGTGTCATAGAGACTGCGCCTTAGCCCGGGTCCTACACAAACCTTTGATTGCTTTCTTTGCTCCCTCTTGCACAGTCTCTTGCGCTTGCTGATAATCTTCGCTTGCAAACTTTGCTTGCAAGGGCGAAGAGCAATTGGCTTTGGCTCGTTTCTCCGTGAAGCTTGAAGAAGGCTGTTGACAGCGCCCAACGATGGTCCAGCAGCTTCAACGAGATTCCGGAAAGAAACTGAGTGGTAGGGTGTGGCATGAAGGTGTCGTAGCCAGTTCACCCCATGATAGTGGTAGTAGCAGTGGCAGCAGTAGTAGCAGTAGCAGCAGTAAGGCACACAGATACTCGAGTGGATTAGCCAAGAAAAATCTTGAATCTGAAGCACAGTTTCCAGCCGGATTTGTCAGCGCCTGTGACTTTACCCTAAGTCCTAACCTTTCCAGCCCTGTTCAAGGCCGGCTGATTTCCTGCTGGGTCGCACCAAAAACAATGAGGACCCAACCTGGCCTTGTCAAGATCTGTGTGGGATCTTTGGGAGAAAGGATGACAGGTTTGGGGCTTTGGGGTTCAGGTTTTGGGTTTCAGGCCTGCTTGGGAAAGCCGAGCTGCCCTGTGGGAAGTTTGCTACAGTATGACCGCGCAGGCTTGCGAGCTGTCGGCTGCCGGCTGGAAATTGGTGTAACCTGTCGGCCTCATGTCCAGGAACTGTTCAGAGTGGCGTGCTCTGGTGCGCAGAGGCTGGCAGGTGAAATTGTGGATGGCTCAGATTGATGGGAAGCTGCATGGAAGCTGAAGAGGATATGAGGAGGTCGCTGGGCTCTGGGGTATATCATGGCCGAGGATCCCAAGCGTGTCTGCACACCACCTAGCTTCTAGACCCAAGCAAAGGTCATAAGCAATCCCGGGATTGCAGTGAAGTCTCTTACCACTTAGCAGCAGCAGCAGTCCTCGATTAGACCAGTGTCGAGTACGCTGCATCACGATACGGTACGAAGGGGCTCTTCCGAAAGGTTCGTGTCCTTAGGGCTCGATGCTCTCGCTTCATCTTGCTCTTCGTGCCTCACCGTTCGTCCCGAACTAGACCCGTCTGGTAACTTCTGCAAGCCACCATAGCTCCGAAACATCTCACAAGCAGCCTATGTTCGGCGCATAGGAATGCATTTGCAGAAGCGAGTGCGCAGAAGGAAAGCGAGAAATCGCTGAATTACTAGAAAGTCGAGCAAGGATATGGTCAGCAAGATCTAAGCCAAAGCAATGGCAAGGGAAGGATCGCTCTCCCATATAAGTGTGGAGCCCTCCTCCTGATTTCTTGCCTCGATCTCCATGCCGTTCTGCTTCACCGGGCCATGGTCGTTGCCGAAACTAAGGCCGAAGCCGAACACAGAGCTTTGCGGATGGCGCGCGAGGTCATCGATGAGCAGGGTGCCCCAGTGATTAGCCATTGCAGGTTCCTGATCTCCCGTTGCCTGAGGATGCGAAGTCCGTTCTCGAAGGCTCAAAGAAGGCCTGATTGAGTCGAAAATCTGCGCGGTATGAACCTTCGCAGGCACGGGAGCCGGCCGTAACTGACAAACCCCCGACAAAGCCTCGGTTTCGCGTCTTTGAGGAGTAAGTGAGTAGCTCATCGTCATGTTTCCTGCATGAAAGACGCGTGCACTGCCCGCTGAGTTCTACGACGTGGGAAGACGTGGCACTGCCTGGAAGGAGCTCGGAGCTGCAGGGAGCGATATCAGCGCAAGAAAGGAGAGCCTAGCCGGCCCTAGCACTCCCTGCCAGGACGTCCGTCTCAGAGACGGAAGCGGATCCGCTTCAAAGGGATGCTCCGCCGCCGAAACCTTCCGAGGTGCTTTTTTCCCACGAGTCGCGTCTGCGAGTGCTCTGCCCGTTATGTTCTGGCAGGCAGCTGAAGCAGCACGCACCTCGGGCTGTGCACGTCGTCGTGCTGACAGCGACGGCGCGAACAGCAGCGACGGCGCGAACATAAGTAATTACAAGAGCACACCGTACAGCCTACTCAAGCAATGCTGCCGAAAAGGAATTGCTGCAACATACCAATACCGGCTCAAGAGCAGATGCGTTCTTGCACGCTGTCTGCTTAAGCTCTTCGTAGAGCAATGCTGGCTCGACCAAGACGATCTCACACAGGCTTAGGCCCTGCGGTCTTCGTGGATGTGGTATGGTTTTCTTGACTGCCTGTGCTGAGTGAGCGCGCACAGCGTACAAACACTGCTGGAAGGCCTTCTGCTGGCTGCCGCAGATTCTTGGCATCACTCAGTGCGTCTACTGCGACCGTAGCGGGTGGAAATCATCAGATCAGTTCGAAGTGTCCCACAGCTGCCGGTGGGACCGACTTAGCAACCGGCTGCAATTGCCACGTTGCCATCGGGAGTGGCACGAGCATGCTGAGGTATGTCTGCTCGGCGGAGAATCGGCATCTGGAGCCTCGGCTTCTGAAGTTTGCTTCCTATCTTCGACCGGTTCTTGGCCAGGGCAAAGCTCAGACTCAGACTGTCTCTGCTTAGGCGTCGGCTTCAGCGTGGTCCGCCCAGCAAATCCAGCCCGTGAAACTCCACGCCTTCGCACTCGACATGGTCGAAGGCTTCCGGTCCTGTGCAAAGCTAAAGCCAGGCTAGCGGGCCAGTAAGCTCGGCTAGGTGCTCGTCCGTAGCGCCGTAGCGCCCTGCCAGCCCAGACTGTGTAGACCTTGGCACACCGCAAGACATGCCAGCACAGAAGACAAGAAGCCAAGAAGCTCTCTGCTGTTCTGTGATATTTACTGCGCCCCTCGTGCAGACGAATCCAGACAAGACTTGCCAGGAGCTGCGCAGCTCCGATGCAGGCACTCTCCAGTCTTCGTCATGCACTTTGCGATAGTCGGGGTGCCTTTCGAATCTTTCAGGTGATCAAGGCGGAAGGAAGCGGAATCGGCAGTGTCCTTCGCGGCTTCCTGAGGCGCGTCCGGCTGTGTGTTCGGATCCTGCATGAAGTTTCAGTCCCAGGATTCGCACAGCTGTCGTAGACTCTGGACACCGCCCTTGTGTACACCCGAGCCTTGAGCAAAAGCTCCAAGCACGAAGCCACAAGCCCAATGCCATGAGGCCCTATGATTATGAATTATCACCTTTGCTACTATTAGTAGTAGTGGAGCCCGTTCCGTGCGCCAGGCGTGCTCTGGCTGTCCTGAGCATGCTGACTGCACTGACATGGTGGGGCAGGTCCACTTCCAAGGCCACCCGAGAGAAGCGCGGAACCCCCGAAGTGCCAAGCTTTGGCGCAGCAGATCTTTCGTTGAGGTGCTGAAAGCTGCCCCGGTGGTGTCCTCTGAGTCCAACGACTGGGAACCTGAAATCTCCGCACCAGCTCCTCAGCGGCAATTCGAGGCGCCGAGTGCAGCGCGGGTGTTTTGCACGGACTAGACCGATAGGGAGTCGAGCGGGGTGACAGAGTGCATGAATGCATGCGCGCTTCCGGAAGCACGTCGATTGTGGCAAGATTAAGGTTGCAGTGCGCAGTGTTCAAGTCCCCGTTCAAGTCCAAGAGGCTCCTGTGCAGAAAGTCGCAGAGATGAACCAAGTGGCCGAAGCGACGAATGTCGACACGATACCCGTGGCTCCAGTTGCGAGTGAAGAGGTGCTTACGGACCCCGTAGTACCAGGAATGGCAAAGGCAAACTTGGTAGTGAATGTGGAGACAGTTCCAGGAAAAGCACAGACTCCGCATGCAGATGCCAAGATGCAACAATCGGACCAACAAGTGCTCGAAAACCTGTGCGGCGACGGCTGGAGCTGCTCGCCAATCGACGCAGAGAAGGGCTTGTTCGAAATCACATTGCCAGCGGTGAGATACGAGCTCCCGATGGGCGTGGTGTCAATTCCTGCACCCCTCTTCCATGCTCAGGTCAGAAGCTTAGCAAATCTGAGCGGCTTAACGCAGCTCAGAGCCCTTCAGCACGTGCCGCGTCGATCTGTCGAAAACTGACTGTCTTCTGGTTGCTCAAGGCCCGCAGCTCACAAGTGGAGTCTGACGACTACAGCGAGAGATTGGTGGCAGACATCGTGCTACAGAATGGTGACAAGATGCTTTGTGTTGAGCCACGTGGCAAGCATGCGCGCAATGTCTCCTCAGCTGGTGTCGAATGCCAGTCGTATCTAAAGTTGGACTCTCGCACCATAGGATGTTCGTAGTGGAGCCATGACAAGTCATGAGTGTGGCAATGACTAGGCTTGGATTTCCTTTCAACAGCAAATTCACCATCTCAGCCGCTGGCCACATGCTCAGTCTGGCAGCTGCAACAGAAAGGCTCTCACAACGGGTAGGGATGGGTAGGGTCGCTGTGACCCTCAGGCTGGGCACGTTGCCGTGTTGGACGAGAGCCCGGTTCGGTGATTTGCAAGGTGGGCAGGGTGTGGCTTGATGTTGGCATACGTATCCATTGAGAACCTTACTCATCAACAGTTCGCCTTGTGGCCCGCGGCATCTGCGTAGAAAATTGGCAGTGGTAGTAGACGTCGTCGTAGTGGTCGAGTCGTGGAGGGGTGGTCGTTGTTGGGCTTGTGGAAGGGCTGATGGTGCTGGTGCTTGAACTTTTGCTGTGCGGCTGCAAGCTTGATTTTCGCGTTACTTCCAGGCGCAAGTCGAGATGGGCCTCCAGGTGCCAAAGGCGAGAACCCCAGTCGCAGGTCGTCGCCGACGGAGATCCTTCTGGTTTACAGTTTAGGGTTTAGGGGTTTAGGGTATGTGTTTGGTTCCAGAGCTGTTATGTAAACTGTACAAGATCTAGAGCACCAGACCTCTAGGTGTGACGTTCTCCAATCAGGTCCCGGGATTGACTTCGATCTTGCAGTTCTTCGTGAAGTCCTATGCCAACAAATCCGCAACTTTGCTGCAGACACCGGATACTTCAGAAGCTTAGGGCTTCAGGCTTTAGGATATACTTCGGTTGATCATATAAATCCTGCATTACCCATAGTAAGGAATATGTGAGAATTATGGTATATTCCTTGTTATGGGTCATGCAGGATTTGTATCATCAACAGTTACACCAGTGCCCTTTGCCGAGGCTCACGATTGCGCCGTAAGCCTGTCAAAGCCACCTGGTCTTTGAAAGCTCCGAGCTCCGCCTCCTGTTCCATGGCTCCTCGCGCCTCGACACGCAAATGGGAGTTTCCGAAAGAAATTAGGAGACCCTACTATCGTATAGTATCCTAAATGGTAGGATCCGTATTGTAAGGACCCCAATATGAGGTACCCCTAACCCTTCGGAAACTCCCAAATCGAAAGGTTCAGCGTAGCTCAGCAGCTCGCAGCCTCCAAAGTCGTCCAACATTCCACTTCACCCTACCATATGAGCTGCATCGAAACTCGTCTCGCCTTTAGATGATTCCTTTCCGACGGATCTGCAGCGTCCGGGGCGCATGGCACCGAAGTGCTTGGCGAAGCTGGCAGGAGAGCGCCACATCCTTGCAGCTGAGCACACGCCGAGCTGGCAGGGCTGGTTGTTTCGTTTTCACGTTCATACACTCAATGCTGCTACGGGTATCAAGGACAATATGTGGGCGAAGCAATAAGACTGCAGGACAGTGGGGTCGAAATTTAGCAAGCTTGGGCACGATCTCGCCCATGCTTGCTCGATTATCTGATGCAGCAGATGGAGACAGCTTGCAGCATGTGACGGTGCTTTTCATCTAGTTGCTAATCTGCGTTTTCAGTAGTTGAACCATGTCAAGTTCGATAGTGCAGGGCCCGCACTAGCAGTCTGCATCGTCACGTGCTTCATCGTTTACTAGTTTCGGATGTGAATTCCCCCAGGTTTTCGAGTGCGCGAGATCAGGAAACCCACTGCTGAAGGCAGAAAGTTCTTTTTCGGGCGAGTTCGCCCCATCCCCTGAGGAAGGTACTCCAAGTCTTCCCGATGTGAGATATGTGTCTTGTTCCAGCAGGGGTGATCCAGAGAACTTTCTGCAGCCACTAGCTTCTTTCCATCTTGCAGAGACATCAGAGAGCGATGAGCACTCCTGACACTAGATCTGGAAGGAATGCTCCGCCAGAAGACTGATGGTAGGTGGGTGCCACGATGGTCGCCATCGAATCTTCCCAGCCTCAGCGCATTCTGTTCTGATTGTTCTATTGTTTTCCAGCTGGCCACTGGAAAGCAAATAGTGGGAGTCATCCCAAGGACCCCAGTGTTTGAAGAAACGGGCAGCTTGCCGCAAAGCTTTCTCGTAACATGCACCAGGCAACTGACATGTATGTTGCAGCATGAACCTTGCTTTCTTCCTTTTCGTGAACCTTTTCAGCTGGTTGCAAAACGATGCTGCCCTGGCTAAAATCTCGTAGGTCTTCTGACAAGGTCAAGATTTGAAACGTGCAGGAGGGCTGAAGGCCACGTAGGCCACAGGTGTTGCCGAGATTCTGTGAGCAGAAGCTACCTTGGCTAAATCGAACTTGGCTGCTGCCTCCGCTTCACAGCGCCTGGCAACATCAAGTGGATTCGAAGGCTCTGCAGCAGCGATAACATCATTGCTGCGTGCAGACATCCTTCCAGAAAAGTCAATGAGTTACTGTAGTGACAGGGTCGGCTGGACATGATGCGCACGTTCCCGCACGCAAAGTGTATTTCCAGAATCATCGGCCCGCGCCGACTGTTTTCTGTGAGCATCATACCAGTTGAACGTTCTCAGGGGAGCAGATAAGATATCTTGCGCGACCGGCGATCACCGATGTCCCGGCCGACAAAACGAAGCCCTCACACTGTCGCGACCAGTTTCATGAACATCATGTGTGGCAACACAGTTTGCAACTAGACTTCCGCTTGGTGCTGACATGACTCCAGCAGACCTTGTTTGCGGCATGGATACGGGAGGGTGCAAGGAAGGCCTGCAAAAATGCTTCGACACACAAGCCCAGGCCGAACAGCCCGAGAACGACCCTCCCGGAGAGTTGGAGGGTGATCCGGTGCCGAGGCCTGTTCACCGTGCAAGCATGGGGTTCGCGTTCGTGTGATACATTTTGCATTTGTGCACCTGTTCTAGCGTATCATACTCCCAAACAAGCTGCTGGGGTGACAGCCAGCAGAAGGAAAGACGAAGAGACTGCTGCGGAGTGCATTCGCAGACGCCTCAGTTCCCGAAGACACTTCAAAACTAAACTGTCGTCCTCGTCGGTTGCATTCGAGGTCTTCAGAACATCCTGGACAGGATGAAGCAGCTCATGCGCGAAGAGTCGGGTTCTTTGCATCTTGAGAAGCCTGGTTCAAGCGGCCTATTAGACAAATCGAGCATGATCTAACTCTGACTGAGGAGAGCCGTCTGGAACGAAGAACGGGCACAACTCTTGGATGTCCCGTAGCTGCAAGCTTAAAGATGTTACGGGTATTCCTCGTCGTCGTCGCTGTCGTTTACCAGCCATTTCTGCTGTCGCCGATTGATTCCAACAGTGGGAACCAATGATGGCGATCACGAAGCAAGGGGAATTGATTCGGATACAAACTTACAGGTGTAACGAAGCGAACAACCACAGCACCCACAGATTCGCAGTCAACGTCATCATCGCCATGCCGTTGCCGAAGACTCTGTCGCAGTCGTCCACAGCCATCTCTGCTGTCAGGGTCATGATCGTCGTAGTCGTTCGTCATCGTAACAGTGAAGCACCAGCTTGCAGGTAAAAGGCATGCCCTAGCAGTGTTTTCTTCGCTACGGCTGAAGTTATCAGGAGTTGTCAGCTACGCGGCGGGCCTTGCCCGGCTCTTGGCGTAACTGCGACACTCCCTTGCTTGGGCCTTTGCATTGCCTTTGAGTTTGCAGGTCGGCTTCGGAGGCTGCTCGCGAAGCGGCAGAGCTGGCTCTGGCTCAACGCTCCTCCATGTCCGTGATGTCCGTGTCTAGGGGGGAGCCCTGTCCCTCAGCCTCAGCCTCTCCCTCTCTTCAGCCGTCTTTTCAGCCGACTCAGAGTCAGAGTCGCAGCCTGAAAAGCTTCGGGAGCCTGCAGAGCATTCAGAGCCTCGGGCCGGAAGCTGAGATCGCACTCCTCAAGGACGGAGTGCGTGCGGCGCTGGACGCGATGTCCCTGGACAAGAGACCTTCGGGGCCTTCTCAAGACGAATTCAGAGCATACAGCAGGCAATTGCGCCCTGCTGGCCAATGGACCAGAATGCAACTTGAGGACGACGCGAATCGGTTCAAAACGGCATCGCTGTCGACTAGAACTAAGTGTGTATGTGCGTTTGCATGTTTGCAGATATGTGTTTATGATGGTCTTATCATACCATGCAACAACTACGTGGACACAACAGTTGAAGCTGTTCACATGGTTGAACACTTCAGTATTTGGACGTATCTTCTCTCAAGCTTCAATCCAACATAAAGCCGTGTGAAAAATCAACCAGACACTCAGCGATGTATCCTCTCCTATAGTATACGCATGTGTACATGTTTGTGAGTCCGTGTATATGCGCGTAGATGCATCTATGTTGTCTACCTGCCTGCATGTGTAGTGTGCGTGAATGTATGTGTATGTGTCTGTGTATACATATACATATATATATATATATGTATGTATGGTTATATAGGTATGCATGTTGGCAGGTGTGTACGCATGAATGTGTCTATGTTTCTATGAGTTGGTTGCACACGTGTGTCCGTATGGGCACATGGGTGCTCACACCTCTCTAGGCATGTAGGTATATGTATGTACCCAGGTATGTGTAGATGTATATGTATGTATGCGTGTGTACATATACCTATATATATATATGTACACATGCATGGATGGATGTACAAATTTACATATGTATGTACGTCTGCACACACACACACACAAACGCTCAACCAGCAAAAATGCACATGAATACTTGCACACCTGCACTAGCAGTGCATGTTCTTTGCAGATCCAAACTATTGCAGCTTTTTCAGGTCTGCGGCTCGATATTTCACAGTGCCCTACGAAGGTTCACGGTGTATGGTCCTGAACTCCTGAGACTATTCAGACTATGCTCCCGGCTGACGAAACATGCTTACGGAACCCTCGCAGACAAGCCCTCTACCTTCGTAAACACCACTTCAAGTGAGCACGAGCAAGTTGCAGCTTCGTAGCGTATTGACGTCTGCAACACCTCCCCAATGACGTCCATCTTCGGGCTCTTAGACAAGCGGCAGCGAGCGGCCCCTTGGTTTTACAAATAGCTATGACCTGTCGGATTCCTCGCCATGCCCCCGAAGAGTTCTGAGAGTTAGCAGCAGTGAGAAGCCATCGTTGCGCGTAGCTTTATGAGGCAGACGACGCAGCGCTGGCCAATGAGTTGGACTTCTCCTTTGAGGCAGTCTGCAGCCTTTCATTGTTCCATGCCGGTCTCCAACCGCTAAGTTGACTCTCCACGCCGCACATCCCACTCATCGAATCTCATTTTGCACCCGGCGGAAAATCGCAAGCAATTCATGGGCAACGCCAGGAGCGAGCCGACTTGCTCGCAGACCTCCTCGAGGCGGTCGAATCAGTGTAAGAAGAGCCGACTCTACGCTTTTTACAGATTGAGCCGCCGTGGATGGCTGTTTTTAGGAAGATGCCCCCTGGCAAAGCTCCCCGCCAGGACGACAGCTCCGTCCTGCCGCTGTTGGAATGCCCGCCAGAGGCACGAAGAAAGCCTCTACTGGGCTCGAGCCCGTATAGCAACCTTTGTAGACCTCTTTTAAGGAACCCCTCAAGTGTCTGAAACCTGTCGAAACACTCGGCAATCGCATTTGCGACTCTAGATACTGGCCATTGCTCCAACTGACAGCAAGACGTCTGCATCGTACTGTAAGTGAGGAACAGAGCGCAAGCTCGCAGCTTCTTGTAAGGTGCTGGAAGATGTGCTTGCAGCGTTTATTTCATCTGAAGTCTGCAGGTCCTTTCCTCCGTTCTGCTTCTGTCAGCGCTTTGTCGGCAAACCGGAGGGAGATTCGGTGAATAGTTCTCTTGGTTACGAGGTGCTTTGCAGCCGGAAGGGCAGAGGCTAGCAGGGATATGACGGCGGCTTGTTTTCAATGCCTCTCTCAGGCCGTTTCACTGTTTTCGGCAAAAGCCAGTGTCAATGCATTAAAGTGGCACGCAGCATCAGCCTCAAGTAGCTGGCGCAAGTATGCACCTAGCTCCGACAGCCGGTACTTGCAGTTTTCCATTCGCAGGAAAGGAGTTCGCTCTGTGCCCTGAATGAGGAGGCGGTGACAACGGTTCGGATGAGACCACTGTGCCGGATGATGCGTGTGGCCGTGGATTCCAATGAAGGCAGATCATTTCATGTCATGGTCCAGTTTGCAAGCCAACATCTAGAAATATGTCTCTATAGGTATAATTGCATGCATACTTGCATGCATATCTAATTACATACACACGTGCATGCAAACATCTATTCACGAAACATATGTGTGTTTCATATCTTCATATTTACATACGTACTGTATCTACATACATAGAGAGAGAGAGAGAAAAAGAAAGAAAGCAACAAACAAAGATAGATAGCCTTTGCCACCTCCTGCAAGGCCTGTGGAGTCTCTTGACCCTGCGAGACTTCGCAGATTTGGGTGGAACCACAAAGCATTACCGGGGCCTGCGAACCCTCGCAGAATGGGACGAGTCCAATGCGATGAGGCAAACCGCTTCGATTTCGGGTCATCGCTCTGCACATTATCCTAGTCTTGCCTGTGAGCGTATTGGCAGTCCCTTTGCCCAGCGCTGATGCTCGGTACTTGGTATGCCTGCACAAAGTATGTTGAGTCTTGCCTCCGAAACTCGTCCTCCAGTTCCTTTGTCCTGTGTCCAGGCGGCTGGAGTGGGATCCGTTGATGATTTGCGCACCGCCGGCATTACGATACAGCCTACTGGCTGCAATGCAGGCCAGTTCCTGCCAGCAGAGAGCGCGGCTTGAAGCAGGAGATTTGTGGTTTTCACGACTTTGCACGCCTCTTACTGTGGAGCAGGTGAGACGTCAGCTTTGGACTCAGCACGGCCCGTCGTTAGGGGCCGGCTGGGACTGGTTCAGTGCCAAGGCGGTTGCACGCAAGTGACCAATTTATCAGCTCAAGTGAAGCATGCACTCAAGCAAAGTCTTGTGAACTTGAGGCAGGGATCAGAGGACCATGATGAGTCCGAAGCCGTTGCTTGGAAAGTCAGCTCCTGCAGGTGTGCCGCCGAATGGCCGTTCCGACCTTCCTGCGCTGGGCATCGCTACAGCACGACGGCAAGGCGCGGAAAAAAGCCACAGGTCTTGCTGGACACTAGCACCAGGCTGTCATTCATTATTTAAGCATAAAGGAAGTAGTTGCAATGGCTGCAAGGGCTTCAGTCAGAAAGCCAGCTCTCTCAGTAGTCATAGTCGGTAGAACGCTCAAAACAGCGGAAGAGCCCCTGCAAAAGCATCTACGGGCGCGGTTTGCGGCCCTTGGTTGGAGAGAGTTTCATGCGTTTTGCTTTGGCTTCAGGCACATTTGATACTGGCTGTAAACAGCCAACAGAAGTTGAAGCTGGTTTTGATAGAATGCTGCCAAACACAGAGTTAGTATTGAACGCGACACATTGCATTGAGCTTTGTCGTGGTGTCACGAAAATGCCACCCCTTTCGATGGTTCGCATGTTTTCGAGATATTCCGCTGGACCTTCTCAAGCAGGGACCCAAAAGCGAGAATGCATGTGCTCGCTGTGCTTGTGGAGGACGGCGTGGGCCCTTACGGGTTTCAAGTTCGATGTCTTGGGTTTTGGGTTGGGCTTGGAAGTCCCAAACCCTGAATCTTGATCCCCAACTTTTCGAAACAACGCACAGCACGCCCATACAGGTCTTGTAGAGGCCACCCATCACCCACCGATGACCGGGACTTCCAGCGGAGGAGTTAAAACTCCATTGGCTTTGCCGAAGCTCTACCCGAGGGGTCTAATCATGTCTACTATGTATATTTGTTTCTATTCCGTCTGTCTAGCCAACAAGGCAGATCAAGGCAGTGTCCTCCATGAGTTAAAGCAGATGCCGCGCCAGGCTCTGCAAGCGCTGCTAAGACCTCTTGGCCGGGAGCCCAGGTTTGCAAAGGCGATGCAGAGCCGCTGGAGAAGCTCTGTTACTTCGAGCATACTTTGTATAATGACCGACATGGACACTGCTTGGACTGTTGTGTCTGTTAGAGCCCTCGGCCATCACTAGCAGTGTCGCTCTTTCAGATGACTTCGTTTTCGGTCCTGCCGATTGTCGACATGACCTGACACAATGTGTTGCAATCGACAGAGTGAAAGGCCTTCCAAAAATGCAGACCTTTGTCCATGCGTTGTTGGTCTCGCGTCCTGCTGTTAAGTTCCCTGAGAATAATCGCAGATGTTGAGATGCTTGCTTTCCAGCACATCTTATTGTTCGAGGCGTAGGTACTTACTGATAGTGCTGGCTCTGACATGTGCCTCCACTTTCGCTTTCGTTGCTGCATGTACAGGGAACAAGAGCCCCTCGAAGCGCATCCGATTTGGCCTCCTAGACACACTGGCTATGCTGTGTGTGCGTTTGCATCCAGCTCAGGGAAGCATAGGCTTGTACGGCTTGGTGCAATTGCCCTCGGTCACAGCTTCCAAGCGCAGTGAGGCCTTTCAACTGGAGATGCGGTGTCAAGCGGCGCTGTCCTTCCAGGGCAGAAGCGAAAGCGAGCAAACGACGCAGATGAAGAAGCAGAGCCAGCAAAGCGGATAGGCCATGAGGGAGACAACACGAGAGAAGGGTGTGATGTATTTGTTCGACTTTTGCTGCCCACGCTTGAGGCATGCGCTTCAGATGCGGACGCTCCGATGCGGTTGACCTGAGCGAGGAAGCCGTCAACGACATCTACGAAACGGTGCAAAGATGGCACAGCAAAGAGCATCGGGAGATGATGCGAGCACACTTTCAGGGCACAGATACCTCCAAGAAGGGCAAGACTCAGCTGCCACGGGGCAACAGTGGAGTTTTCAGTGTTACTCCCACTCTCGATGCTCACGAGGCAACAGTCTTCGCATTGAATGAAAGTCAGCCGGAGCCGGACACAGCAAAGAAGCCTCAAGCAGAAGGACGTGGTGCGGCCTCAATTAACATCGAAGAGGCGCAGCTCAGGCTAGCTGTCGAGCTGTCGAAGAGGGAAGCAGAGCAGCCAGAGAAGGAGAAGGCCCAGGAGACGCAGAAGGATCCCCAGTCAAAGGCCCAGGCCGTTCCTGAGGAGATTCAGGCGGAAGCCGTGCCAGAAAAGACTCAGGACAGATGCAAGCTTCATGTTACAGTAGGGGCTCAGCAATTCCACCTTACAGAGCTGCCTTCCTGTTCGCATGTTGGAGCTACCAGGACGCCGCAGATGTCCGGGTGCCGGAGTTCGAAGGGCTTCCGCTCCGTGGAGAAGGGGGAGTTCCAGCTGCCCAGGTCTTCGTCAAGCCGCACTGCCTGGCGGCCCGAGTCGAGGCCTTGCCAGATGCTTTGGAAAGATCCATCGAAAGCATTGCCCCGGGCCCAGGGGGCCCAGTCACAGCCGAAAGACACTCTGTGTTGAAGACGTCTACATTCATTCGCTTTAGCAAGGTCCACAAGCTAGTCACGCCAGGGTCCTGGGCGCTGCTCTATGAGTCCATCACGGAGGAAGCGCGTGCTGTTGGGATGAAGTGCAACATGTTCAAAAGATTCAAAAGGTACTATATGGGAGTTTCCGAAACCTAGGGATACCTTATTTGGGGCTCTTAAGGATACTGAATTAGGGTCCCCTATTTTCGGAAATCCCCATACTGTTTTGTTTTGCTTTGAGCTCCCGGCTTCCCAACCCCAGAACTTCCACGTCACAGATCCACAACCTGCAGCATCACTGTGGAACAACCCGCAACCCGCCTAGCCTAAACTTGAAGCTCCCGGAAGACCACGTAATCACGGCCGCTGCGTAATCATCTGCACCACACCGAGTCGCATTCTGACACTTGCTCCGTCGAGAGCGCGTGAGGAGTTTGCAAAACCATTGTACTACCACTGCCCCGAAACACCGGCTGGGTCCACCGGTTCGACTAACCCCTCGGCAGAACAGACAACTGTAACTGGTGCGCATCCCAAAACCCCACAGCGCATGTTCAACTGCAGCGTTGACCCCAGACTGGGCCCCAGGAGCTTTGCCTCAGGGCTCGATGTGCTGCACATGCTCTTTGCGCGTCGCACGCCGGGGCGATGGATCAGCATTATGTCGCAATTACTGGCGCAATCAGTGTCAATCCAGAGCGAACAGAGATTCAGGCATTGATAGGCTTTGTGGATTGCAAGACATCTTCTTGTTGACTTTCGCCGGCACGTGCTTCGCTCTTAGGTTAGAAGATGTGGCGACCGACACAGCCAAGCTCCAGGAGCCAGCCCTTGCAATTTGAGAAAGATGCACCTACCCCTCGAGAGCACCGGATGTTGACATATCGATTGCCTGTCTTGGCCCCTAAACTGAACCCCCGAACCCCTAAACCCTGAACCCCTATAAACCCTAAATCCCCTGTCAGGGCTCTTCCACGGGCATCTCTTTGGACCAGGAACGCCTTTGTTTGCCAATCTGGCGCCGCAGCTCCGTCATGACCGGGCTTGGACTCTCGTGTCTCACGGAGAGCGCACGCGGCTTTTCTGCGGAGAAGCTTCGCCTGGACCGGGCGCGCCACGACTTCTTGAAGCATGCCATGCTGGAGTGGTGCGAGCTGGAGGCCGCGACAAGACAAGACTTCTTCTGTGTTTGGGGGGGGGGCACTATAGCAGCCTTCGAATTCCAATTTTGTTCGGGGCTTTTGGGCTCTTTTGGACCGAGGATCTCACGGAGTTCCTCGACGCGCAGCTGGGGCCCCTGGAGATGGCTATCGACAACTTCCGGGGAAGCCAGGAGGTGAACGGCGGGGCGCACACACCTCACGTCCGGGACATCGGGCGCCTGATGTTTCGGAACCACTGTCTCTTGGACTCTCGGGTCTTCAGGCCCGGCTTTCCGAAGTGACCAGAGTTTAGGGCCTAGGCCTAGGGAAGGTCTCAGCCATCCGGCTCGCAAGGCCCTTGTGCTTGGCAGCCTACGCACTGGTCCATGAGGCGAGAGTTGCAAGTGTACAGAGAGGCCCTAAACCCTCCACCGACCCTACCACTCCTGACAGATCCATGGTGCAGCCGGGAAGCCGAAGGCTTCAGGAGAAAAGAGAGATCCCGACAGTGTGGATGCTCTCGTCGTGACTTGCCTCGATGCCAGGCGTTCTTGCTGGCCATCTGTTTCTCCATGTGAAGTCCTTGTCAAACGAGCTTTCGACATGGTTACGAAGCGCATGTCAAGCATCAAGCGATCACGGAAATGCGGCATGCTTCGATGCATACCGGCTTATCAATACTGTTGAGATACTTTAAGGCCACAACGAATGAAAGATGGCTATCGGCACAAGTAAACTAAGGACCTTCTGGAGCACTTTCACGGCATGCTGCTCCTCGGGTGCATAAGAGTGGAGGGGCCTCACGCGTTCCCATGCCATCGACGCCATCTTTGATTGTTAGAGTCACTTGATACGTAAGGGTGGGTTGCGATGTTGCCGACGACCACTTGTCCTCATCCAAGAACACCAAGGAGTTTCGGGTCCGTTGCGGATAAGTAAACTCGGCTCAGAATGCTGCTGAAGGAGTCCTACGAGCAGAACTTGGTGTCACCCATTTCTGCCGCCATGGATCGCTTCGGTGACAAGGACCTCAGGGTGCCGATGCTTCACCGTACGTCAACACGCTAGCAACTTCGGAACATGTCAATCCGGCCATGTTTTCGCAGCTGCAAGAGTGCTGAAGGACATCCGGGGCCATCCATCCAGAGACTCGGGCAGAGGCCAACTTCCAAGTCCCATTTGCATGAGCCGTCGCATGAGTCTAGCGCGGTTTTTTGCACGTTGCAGGTCAGCGCCGCAGCTCGTTGAAGTGCGTGTAATTTTCATCGTCACTGAGCCGTGATCCGTGATTCCCTTTGCTTCTTGACGGCCGTGGAGCACAGTTTCTGTAGGGCGGCCTGTGTTGTGGTAACGTCCGTTCGCTGGCTTGAATGCCATGCGACTCGTGAATGCGGCTTGCAAACATGTACATACCATGGCGAACGTGGAGCCAGGATCCACGATGGTCAGATGTTCCAACGTGACCGATTTTCTTGCAGCCGCGTCTGGTTTGCGTGCTTAAAAGGTGCACAGGTGCACAAATGTTGGATAGCTGACACGGAAGAGCAATAACAATCTCGCAACGTGCAGCATAGCTCCAAGATTCCCTAAACGGTGAGGCAAGCTCTGTCGCTCCCACGTCGAGGGTAGAGATATGTATTCTCCCTACGATATCGGCGAAGCCATCATGTTCAGTATCGAATTCAACAATCTTCATAGTTTGGTTGTATTAGAGTTTTAGGTTAATTTAAAAGTTATTCATAGCATATCAGGATCTGCGTGGCCAATCTCTGATAAGATTTTATTGTGTAGATTCATCAATATAAATATGAATGTGTGTATATATATATATATGGGATTTTCGATGAAATATGATGACTCCTCTCTCTCTCTCTCTATATATATATATATGTATATGTATATGTATATGTATGTGTATGTGTATATGTATATGTACATGTATATGTATATGTATATGTATATGTATATGTATACGTATACGTATATGTATATGTATATGTATATGTATATGTATGTGTATGTGTATGTGTATATGTATGTGTATATGTATATGAATATGT